GGGGGCAGAGTTGCACTTTTCTAGGCTTATTAGGAACCTCTGCAACAGATGTGAATAGGCAATTAGAGCTGGAAGAAACTTCCAAGGACATCTAGGTTCGTCCTCATGTTACAATTGAGGAAGCTAAACTCTGGAAGGGAGGGGTTGCCTCAAAAGTCACAGTTAAGCTGGGCACAGTGGCTTACGCCTATAATCCCAGCAACTCAGAAAGCTGAGGCAGGAGGATTACTTGAGGCCAGACTGGACGACACAGCAAGACCCCCATCTCTAAAAAAAAATTGGCCAGGCATGGTGGTACATGCCTGTAGTCCCAGCTATTTGGGAGGCTGAGGTAGGAGGATCACTTGAGCCCAGAAGTTAAAGGCTGCAATGAGCCATGATTACTATGGCACTATAACCTTGGTGACACAGTGAGACCCTGACTCAAAAAGACAGAGAGAGCGAACTAGAACTTCTTGTTTACAGTTAGCCAGAAACTATACAAGTGGTTTAACATGCATTCTCTTAATCCATACAAAAGTCTTTTGGAGGTGTTAACACTCTTTCTGTTGATGAAGAAATGAGCCACTTACCCAAGGTGTCTTGAGTCTGGTACAATTGGCATTCAAATCCAGGTCAGTCTGCTTCCAGAGCCACTACCCTTACCCCTCACTGAATCTGCCTTTATATTGTTGAGCCCATGATCCCAACTCTGTGCTCTTCCCAATTCGAACTTCCAGGGATTTCACTGTGAACTAAGTAGCAATATTAAAATGAAGTTGAATTTTTAAAAACAGCAACGTTATCCGTCTCCTCTAGCTTACCCCCTCCCACCTTTCAACTCCATCTGTGGCCTTTGTCCAGGCCCACAGCTTCGCCGTGGCTTCCCTCCTGCATCCCTGCCGAGGGTTGCCAGCCTCACACTTGCAGCAGCCAGGAAGTGATTTTGGAAGGCCACGAGTCCACACAGCTATATGACAATGAGAAGCAAACTTTGTGCCAGATTGTGTTGGCACAGGCATGATGGGTGGGGCTTGGTACATTTTGATTCAGCATTTGCAAAACAATTGTCTTGAGTTTTAAAATGAACAAAGATTGTTCGCTGAGTGGGACAAATGTCTAAACTGCATGTACTTCAGTGCCATAGAAATTATGACTGGTGAAAGGGAGGAATTGTGACCAAAGAAGATCCATCAGGCTGGGCATGATGGCTCACACCTGTAATTCCAGCCCTTTGGGAGGCTGACACAAGTGGATCACTTGAGGCCAGGAGTTCAAGACCAGCCTGGCCATCATGGGGAAACCCTGTCTCTACTAGAAATATAAACATTAGCTGGGCATGGTGGCACATGCCTGCAATCCCAGCTACTCAGGATGCTGAAGCAAGAATTACTTGAGCCCAGAAGTCAGAGGTTGCAGTCAGCCAAGATTGTACCACTGCACTCTAGCCTAGGCCAGAGCGAGACCCTGTCACCAAAAAAAAAAAAGAGATACCTCTGTGACCTGAATTCAGCCCTGGGGTACCTCTGAGGGTACACAGCAACTGACAGGGAAGGATTTCTCTTGGGGGCAGTATGGAGTTAATAATATCCCTTGGCCTGGCATGGCGGCTCATGTCTGTAATCCTTTCACTTTGGGAGGCCAAGGTGGGAGGACTGCTTGAAGCCAGGAGTTCAACACTAGCCTGGGTAAACAGTGAGACTCCCATCTCTACAAAAAACTTTAAAAATTGAGGCTAAGGCGGAAGGATTACTGGAGCCCAGAAAGTTGAGGCTGCAGTGACCTAGAATCACACCACACACTCTAACCTGGATGACAGAGTTTGACTCCAATCTCTCAAAATATTCATTGTAATAATAATATCTTTTTATGTTGTGAAAAGATCTCTACAGAGCCAGGATATCTCTGTCTCTTGATCTTCATCCCAAATCCATTTTGCTTTTGATTCAGCCAGGCCAAATTAAGTATTTAGGTCCTGTGCTAAGATGGTCAGGCCCCCGAAAATGGAGAATTTGAATGATGAAATAAAGTATGAATAACTACTATTAAGCACTTCCTTGGAAGGCTCAGTATAGCGTTAAAACAGGATTTGGAAACAGAGAAAGCCAAGTCTCCATTCCTAACCAGCAACTTACCAGATGTATGACCTTGGCTAAATTAATTTACCTGTAAAATAGGGGTAATACACTTGAAGTGGTGGTGATTATATGAAAGAGTGCATGTAAAATCCTCGCAAATTAACATTTATTGACTGCCTACCATGTCCTAGACTATTTAAAATGCTGTGTTCAGTACTTTTTTTCCTTTATTTTTTGAGACAGTATCACTCTGTCACTCAGGCTGAAGTGCAGTGGCACAATCTTGGCTCACTGCAACCTCTGTTTCCCAGGTTGAAGCAATTCTCATGCCTCAGCCACTTGAGTAGCTGGGATTACGGGCACGCGCCACCACGCCTGGCTAATTTTTGTATTTTTAGTAGAGATGGGGGGTGGGTCTCACCGTGTCGGCCAGGCTGGTCTCGAACTGCTGACCTCAGGTGATCTGCCATCCTGGCCTCCAGAAATGCTGGGATTACAGGCATGAGCCACTGTCTACTGCACTTACACCTCCAGGAGAAGCAGGGCTGCACTGAAGTGGAGACAAGAGATAAAGGTGAAGGGAGAGAAGCATTCCAGATGGGAGCACTTAGCATCTGGCAAATGAGCAAAAGTGATGCTTTCAGAGGACATTCACATTTCACTGTAGAAGCCCAAGCAGCAGCTGGGCACAGTGGCTCATGCCTGTAATCCCAGCACTTTGGGAAGCTGAGGTGGGCAGATCACCTGAGGTCAGGAGTTAGAGACCAGCCTGGCCAACATGGCAAAAACTCATCTCTACTAAAAATACAAAAATCAGCCAGGTGTGGTGGCATATACCTGCAATCCCAGCTACTCAGGAGGCTGAGGCAGGAGACTTCCTTGAACCCAGGAGGCGGAGGTTGCAGTGAGCCAAGATCATGCCACTGTACTCCAGCCTCTCTAGCCTGAGAGACACAGGAAAACTCAATTAAAAAAAAAGGGGGGGGGGGCCGCACAAACAGCACTAAGGTGTCTCCAAGGGAAAAAAAATCATTTCCAATATCACTTCCATGGGCTGCCTGCACTGACCCCACAGAGTCCCCCATAGTCCCTGTGCTTCTTCAGAGCACCTACTGCAACGAAAATTAGTTATTGCTTAAGTATTAAATCCACGTCTAAATCTGCTAGACAGGTAGCACCATGACTTGTTCACCAGTCTTCGGTCCGTATTTGTTGAATGAATGGATGGATGGATGCAACTGTTACCAAAGATGACACCAAAAGAAATTAATTCCTCTGATGAAGTGAATTAATGATAAAAATAGGTGAATGAAAAAGTGAGTTGTCAAGTGCAGTGGTGTGTGCCTGTAGTCCCCAGCTGCATGGGAGGCTGAAGTGGGAGGACTGCTTGACTTAGGAGTTTGAGTCAAACCTGGCAACATAGCTCTGACTTATCTCTTTAAAAATGAAAAAAAAAAAAAAAAAAAAAAAAGGTGGGTGGGGAATAAATGACTGAGCACTGGTTGGGTGCTTGTGTTTCAAATGTATCTTTTTTTATTTTTTGAAACAGTCTTGCTCTGTTGCCCAGGCCAGAGTGCAATAGTGAATCTCCAGTCAGCACAACCTCCGCCTCTTGGGTTCAAGCAATCCTCCTGCCTCAGCCTCCCAAGTGGCTGGAATTACAGGCGTGCACCACCAGGCCTGGCTAATTTTTTGTATTCTTATTAGAGACAGGGTTTCACCATATTGGTCAGGCTGGTCTTGAACTCCTGACCTCATGATCTGCCTGCTTTGGCCTCCCAAAGTCCTGGGATTACAGGTGTGAGCCACCAAGCACAGCCTCAAATATGTCTTAAATGCTTTCCAAATTCAGTTCCAATTAGGTTATATGACAGTGATTACTTAAGAGGCAACTCCTCGCCCCTCAGTAATTGCACCTTTCTGCTGGACCTTTCAGTATTAAGAACAGCCACATGGCTTGTGAATCATTCAGCAAAATCTGCCAAAAAATTATACACACACACATTCCTTACACATGCATGCACACACACACACATTCCACACAGTGCCACCGGTTTCATATTAGACTTTTTTTTTTTTTTTTTTGAGACAGAGTTTCACTCTTGTTACCCAGGCTGGAGTGCAATGGCGCGATCTCGGCTCATCGCAACCTCCGCCTCCTGGGTTCAGGCAATTCTCCTGCCTCAGCCTCCTGAGTAGCTGGGATTACAGGCACGCACCACCATGCCCAGCTAATTTTTTTATTTTTAGTAGAGACGGGGTTTCACCATGTTGACCAGGATGGTCTTGATCTCTTGACCTCGTGATCCACCCGCCTCGGCCTCCCAAAGTGCTGGGATTACATGCTTGAGCCACCGCGCCCGGCTCATATTAGACTTTTAATTTCCTTTCTATTTTTTTGAGACAGAGTTTCACTCTGTTGCCCAGGCTAGAGTGCAGTGGGGCAATCTTGGCTCACTGAAACTTCTGCCTCCCCAGTTCATGCAATTATCCTGCCTCAGCATCTCAAGTAGCTGGGATTACAGGTATGCACCTGTATTTTATATTTGTATTTTTAGTAGAGACAGGGTTTCACCATGTTGGCCAGGCTGGTCTTGAACTCCTAACATCAAGTGATCCACTTGCCTTAGCCTCTCAAAGTGCTGAGATTATAGGCATGAGCCACAGCAACCAGCTAGTTTTTTTTTTTCTTATTCAGTCTCCATAGAGAATGTCAAAAATTGCCAATGTTTATTATATTTTAAGTCATCACAGCAGGGTATTGGGAAAATTTTCAATTAGCAGTAATCGAGTGTAGGATAAACCTCATCAGCTACAATACTTGTGCTGTGCAAAGCTAGCTTGACATAAGACTTTAATGGTCATGCATAACTCCTCATGGGGACAGAAACTTCTCTATCCCCAATTCCAAAGACTCATGTAATCAATATGCAATAAAGTTCAGAGATGAGACCTCTGGTTGTATTCCAACTTTGGGACATATGAGGATGTTTTTAGTTCAAAGTCACAAATAAATGCAGGCTTCACGTCCCTGCTTAAGGATTACATGTTTATTCAGGCTGGACCACTATCCTTAACAACAGTTCCTAAACCTTTGCCAGGTCTGGGAAGTCTGGCAGGTGAGATTCCTAAGAACCAATCATTCATGCACACATTTCTTGAAGATAAAATAAATTATTCCCTAGTTATTTCTTTCTAGGTTTTTGTGGCCTTGTTTCAATATTACGACAGTCTATATTGGAAAACCCCAAGTATTTCGTCTTGAAAAATCAGCAATCTAGGTGTAAAAAATAGCATGGAATGCCCAATTTTACTTTGATATTTACATTATAGTCAGTTTCTGCTCCTGGCTCAAGGCTTGGATTTCCTTCTGGGCAATTCCTAAAGGCACAGGTGGCATGGAAGAAATTTTCATCTGCTCTCCTTATTTGATTGGTGTCTGGTTCCATTTTCATCTGCTCTCCTTATTTGATTGGTGTCTGGTTACCAAAACCATCATCAGGCCCTTGGATTACCTTCTTGAACTGATCTTCTAAGTCGCAAGTCTAGATTTGACACAGGAAAGAGAAGTTAACTCTGGCACACCCTGCCCCATCCCTACAAGGGAAAGACCAACTTGTCCTTCAAGATCCCATAGTTTTTCATGCCTTTCTTGCCTCCCGCTTTTAGTTTCTATAATCCTCCCCCTTGAACTCCCATCACTGAAAGTCAGTAGTAAATGCTATTCCCCCCCACCCCACAAAAAAACTAATGGGTTTGCCTATTTGTTTCCTGCCTGGAATTCACTTTCCTTCTGGCTTCAGCCCCAGATTTTCTTTGGGAAGTCACCCTTCCCTCCTCTCGGTCCCTATGGTCTTCATGGTTGCACCACCGGTATCTATAGATGAATCATGTAACCAAAGGAACTGCCACCTTCTTGTAGCCACAACAATTGGTTCGTAGACAGGGACATCACCCAGTCAGATTGTATGAAACACCACGAGAATCCTGAGTGCCTCACTCTTTCCCACCAGACTGACTGTGAGAAGATATAATAAGTTGATAAAACTATCTTGCCATTATCAGGAAGAGTCTACTTGCAAAAGGAACCAACATGGATAAGAATGAAACGGGAAGAAACCAGGTTCTGGTGACATGGTGAGCTCCTATGTTAGGCTAGGTCTAAAGCAAGAATTATTCTTGAAATTTTGCTTAAGCAATTTGGATCCAGTTTGCAACTGAAAAAGTAATAAACACACAAGCAATTCTCACACTTATCTTAGATATTTCACGTGACATAAATTAGTGTCTTATTCTGTGCCAGTTCAGTTACTCACCAGGACTGCCATCATGTTCTCCCAAATGTAAAGAGCCTTGTTGCTGAAAAAGGAAAAAAGAGGCAGCCACGTCATGGAGGAAGAACGCAGATTCAGGGTCTTGTGGCATAGTTTGCACAATTTGTGAGCCTCTCCACCATTTTAAAATTAAGGGATGACAAATTAAGACCAAGCTTCTGCCATAGAAATATTGAACATGTTTTATTTTTTTAGGGAGAGTGATTCTATTCATTTATTCCACAGATATACTTCTGAGACAGAGCCTTGCTCTGTCTCCCAGGCTGGAGTAGAGTGGTATGATCTCAGCTTACTGCAACCTCCACCTCCTGGGTTTCAGCAATTCTCCTGCCTCAGCCTCCCGAGTAGCTGGGATTACAGGCACCTGCCACCACCCCCAGCCAATTTTTTCCCTCATTTTTAGTAGAGATGGGGTTTTACCATGTTGGCCAGGCTGGTCCTGAACTCCTGACTTCAAGTGATCTGCCCACCTCAGCATCCCAAAGTGCTGTGATTACAGGCATGAGCCACTGCACCTAGCCATTCAACAGATGTTCACTGAGCATTTATATTATTCAAGGTAATAAATTAGGACCTGGGTGACAAGTGCACAGACTTGGTCTCCACCTTCAGAAGATCTACCTTTAGGCTCCTGATCCCTTCCCTAAACTGTGCTGACGGTATAAATTTGCACAGATGGTAAATTACATGGCAGTCTCTTCTGTCAAGATCACAGTTTCCAACATAAGTGGCATTGGCATTAAGGTAGATTTATGGCTGGGCGCAGTGGCTCACACCTGTAAACCCAGCACTTTGGGAGGCCGAGGTGGATGGATCATGAGGTAAGAAGTTCTAGACCAGCATGGCCAAGATAGTGAAACCGGGCATGGTGGCAGCTGCTTGTAATCCCAGCTACTCGGGAGGCTGAGACAGAAAATTGCTTGAACCCAGGAGGTAGAGGTTGCAATGAGCAGAGATCGAGCCACTGCAGTCCAGTATGGGTGTCAGAGCGAGACTGGCTAATTTTTTGTATTTTTAGTAGAAGCGGGGTTTTGCCATGTTGTCCAGGCTGGTCTTGAACTCCTGACTTCAGGTGATCTGCCCATCTCGGTCTCCCAAAGTGCTGGGATTACAGGCGTGAGTCACCGCACCTGGCCTCTGATGTGCTTTTTACATGGAGGCAAGTTTGTGTCCCAGGGGTCCCCAAGGCAGTCTCCAGCCTCACCTCCACCTCTCTCCTTTCCAGAACAAGGGAGCTGGAGTTTGCTTTCTTCTCCATATCCTGCAGCTTGATCAACTTTTCTATCAGGAACATTTTATCTTTGCCCTCCTGCCAAGAAGGTAAACAAAACCAGAAAGAAACAAAAACGTGAATGAATGATGGTATGGAATTGAGAAAGCAACTGATAACAAGAACCTCGATTTTCAGGCAGGTAGGGTCCTAGAAGTAGGATGGAGATTGATGCCATCTTTTGGTGAAAGAAAAGAAACATTTCACAGTAAAACCAAACTGTTCCCCAGAGCCTTCCTGCACTGTTATACTCTCCTCCAAAGCAATTCCCCTAACAGGCTTGAGCAAGTAGCCTTCTGAAGCTGGCTGCTAGAAGCAACTTACATGCCAGATCTGAATGGCCAGGAAAAATGGTTTCCAGTATCCCCCATCGGCATGTGCCCCACCCCAGAAGCCTATCATGTGATCCTAGCAGTGCTGCCTGGGTCTGCCCTGTCCTCCCACAGAGAATTCCAAAGCTTAGAGGGCAGCCGCTAAGGACGTCAATTGTGTTTCGTTTGTCAGAGTTATCTGTGTTGATGGAGATCGTTAATTCCAAACTGGGAAAATGAACAAAGGAAGTGGGCATGCTTTCTCCCAGGAGGGTGTAATTACTTTCCTGTGAACCCCCATTGCAGATGAGAGTAGAACATTCCACCCATTGAGGGTGACAGCCTCACTGTGTTGCTAGGCTGGAGTGCAGTGGTGCAATCTCGGCTCACTGCAACCTCCCCCTCCTGGGTTCAAGTGATTCTCCTGTCTCAGCCTCCTGAGTAGCTGAGACTACATGTGCATGTCACCATGCCCCATTAATTTTTGTATTTTTAGTAGAGATGGGATTTCACCATGTTGGCGAGGCTGGTCTTGAACTTTTGACCTTAGAGAATCCACCTGCCTTGGACTCCCAAAGTGCTGGGATTACAGCTGTGAGCCACCATGCCTGGTAAAAATTCCTTTTTTAATAGAAGGATTTCAGCTTACAAATACAGGAGGAATTATACAATTGGAGTATCTCTATGTTGCATTCCCTAATGAAATAAACAGATTTTCTAGGCGTTACTCATCGAAGTCCGTTCAGCTAAATCAATTCAGTGAAACACTATGACGGATCAGGCTAAGAAAGCTTGAACTCACTGATCATTGTTAACATCACAGAAAGGGACAATCAGACATTATCTGTCTCAAGACAATGCCATAGGAAAGAATAGCATCAGCTATAAAGTATTTTACCTAAGCTGAATCTGGATCTAGTCAAGTCTCTAGATCTCATCATCATTTACAGGAAACACAAAGAAAAAAACCAGAAACATACTAAACCTCACTGCAGAGTTGCAAATCAGATATATGCAGAACATTGCTGGGTGCAGTGGCTCACACCTGTAATCCCAGCACTTTGGGAAGCTGTGGCAGGTGGATCAGTTGAGGCCAGGAGTTTGAGACCAGCCTGGCCAACATGGCAAAATCCCATCTTTACTAAAAACACTAAAATTAGCTGGGCGTGATGGCACACACCTGTAATCCCAGCTACTTGGGAGGCTGAGGCACAAAAATCACTTGAACCCAGGAGGTGGAGGTTACAGTAAGCTGAGATTGTGCCACTGCACTCCAGCCTGGGCAACAAGACCGAAACTGTCTTAAAAAAAAAAATAAGAAGAAGAAAAAGAAGAAGAATTTAAATAAATAAGAAAATAAAAATAAGGGATTTGCTGGGAAGAGAAAGCATAGACGAAATAAGAATATAAAAACACTGGGCCGGGCACGGTGGCTCAAGCCTGTAATCCCAGCACTTTGGGAGGCCGAGGTGGGTGGATCACAAGGTCAAAAGATCGAGACCATCCTGGTCAACATGATGAAACCCCATCTCTACTAAAAATACAAAAAATTAGCTGGGCATGGTGGCACGTGCCTGTAATCCCAGCTACTCAGGAGGCTGATGCAGGAGAATCGCCTGAACCCGGGAGGCAAAGGTTGCAGTGAGCCGAGATCCCACTGTTGCACTCCAGCCTGGGTAACAAGAGCGAAACTGTCTCAAAAAAAAAAAAAAAAAAAAAAAGAATATAAAAACACTGATGATTGTTAGGGCTGAGAGCAGGGATATGAGAGTTCATTGCAGTATTGTCTTTATTTTGTAGGATGTCTCAAAGTGTCTCTTATATAGAGTTTTAAAAGGGTGGGGGTGGACATCAGAGGGATCCAAGCGGACTTACATTAACGATCTGCTCATGGAGCAGCCTGATCATAATTTTCCTTCCCTCTGTGATCTGCCAGTAAAGATAGGTGATGATTCTGGAAGAGGAGAAAAGAAAGAATGACAGACACTCTTGCCAAAGTTTTGCAGGCTGCGAATTTCCACTGGATGCAAAGGAACTGGAATCTGTGGTTGCAGATGGATTTGGGCCCAAATGTGTTTCTGAAAAGTCATGTTGGGGTGAGTTATAGCTTAAATACATTGGAGCAATGGTTCTCAACTTGGCTGCTCATGGAATCATCTGGAAAGGGGAAACAAGCCCATGCCACAGCCCCTCTTCAGCCCAATTAATTGAGCATCTCTGGACATGTCATCTTTTTAACAGGGGACAAGCAGGTAGTCCTTTCTTAATAGAACAAGTTTAAAAAAAAAATCCCTAAGACAAGAAGATAATATATAACCTCCCAACCCCACCGCTCCTAGACGGGATCTTGCTCTTTCGCCCAGGCTGGAGTACAGTGGCATGATCAGAGCACACTGCAGCCTCAGACTCCTAGGCTCAAATAATACTCCCATCTCAGCTTCCCAAGAAGCTTGACTACAGGCACAAGCTACTGCACCAGGCTAAACAACTTTTTAAAAAAATTATCAATGCAAGGTTGGGCAAGGTGTAATCGTGTAATCCCAATACTTTGAGAGGCCGAGGCAGGAGGATAACATGAGGCCAGGAGTTGGAGAACAGCCTGGGCAACACAGGGAGACCCCCATCTCTCCAAAAATTAAAAAAATTAGCCAGGGCCGGGCACGGTGGCTCAAGCCTGTAATCCCAGCACTTTGGTAGGCCGAGGCGGGTGGATCACGAGATCCAGAGATCGAGACCATCCTGGTCAACACGGTGAAACCCCATCTCTACTAAAAATACAAAAAAATAGCTGGGCATGGTGGCACGTGCCTGTAATCTCAGCTACTCAGGAGGCTGAGGCAGGAGAATTGCCTGAACCCAGGAGGCGGAGGTTGCGGTGAGCTGAGATCGCGCCATTGCACTCCAGCCTGGGTAACAAGAGCGAAACTCCGTCTCAAAAAAAAAAAAAAAAAAAAAAAAAAAAAAAAAATTAGCCAGGTATAGTAGTGCACACCTGCAATCCCAGCTACTTGGAGGCTGAGGTGGGAGGATTGCTTGAGCCCAAAAGGTTGAGGTTGCAGTGAGCCATGACCATCCCATTGCAGTCCAGCTTGGGCAATAGATTGTGACCCTGTCTGAACCAAAGAAAGAAGGGAAGGGAAGGGGAAGAGGAAGGGGAAGGGGGGAGAGAAGGAGGAATGGAAAAGAAAAAATGAAAAAAGAAAGAGAGAAAGAAAGAAAGGGGAGGGAGGGAGGGAGGAAAAGAAAGGAAGGGAGAAAACTACCTATGCAAGGGTAGAGTCACCCAGAACACTGAGCTCTGCTATAGCCATTTGCTTTCCAACCAAAGATCCCTGCTGCTGCTTCCCCGGAGAGCTCTTGGCTTTTCCCGCTAGATCCCCAGGTGTCCCACTCACAGCACAATGAGGGTGAGGATGAAAAAGAAGTGCACACTTCCAATGAGGTTCCGATAGATCCAAACAACCCACAGGTAGCCAGGCCGTGTACTCAGGGTGTCGATCCAGCTGTAGATGGAGTGAATGAAGAAAGGCAGACCTCGAAAAGGGCCACAGTCAGCTGAAGGCTTCAATCTGGTAAAACAAAGGATGGAAGAACATCTCTAGCACAAGACTCAGGGATGGTTATTCTAGAATCAGGGTGTCCTTTCTGGACTCTGGGTCTGAAAACATCAAGTCTTGCCTGATGCACTTACACCCCTTCCCAAGGAAACTCTCTCACTCACAGCCTTGCTGGGGTGACCTGTGCTCCAAGCACTTGCTCTTGGATCACAGAGATCACCTGACCCAAGAGCAGCCAGTCCAAGGGCCAGGCAGTGACTTCTGCAGTAACTTGGCTCAATGATTGAATGGGGGCAGTCAGACTCTCTTTCTTAAGAACTTGAATTAGGCCAGGCACTATGGCTTATGCCACTAATCCCAACACTTTGGGATGCCAAGGGGGAAGAACTGCCTGAGCCCAGAAGTTCAAGACCAGTCTGGGCAACAGAGAAAGACTCTGTCTCTACAAAAAAAAAAAAAATATATATATATATATATATATATATATATATAAATATATACATATAAATATAAATATATATAAATATAATATATATAAATATAATATATATAATAAATATATATAAATAAAATATATAAATATATATAAATATATAAAAAAAAATATATATATATATATATATATATATATATATGAGCTGTGATCATATCACTGTACTGCAGCCTGGGCAACAGAGCAAGACCCTGTCTAAAAAAAACAACTTGAATTAAGGCTGACTGTGGTGGCTTACCTACAATCCCAGCACTTTGGGAGATCAAGGCAGGAGGATCACTTGAGGCTAAGAGTTTGAGACCAGACTAGGCAACACAGCAAGACCCCTATTTCTACCAAAAAACAAAAAATTAGCCAGGCTTGGTGATGTGAACCTATAGTCCCAGCTACTCAGGAGGCTGAGGAGGGAGGATCACTTGAGTCCAGGAGTTTGAGGGTGAAGCGAGCTGTGATTGCACCACTGTCCTCCAGCCTGAGTGACACAGTGAGGCCCCGTCTCAAAGAAAGAACTTGAATTAAGATGCATAAAGAGGGAACCCTGTTAGCTATGGAGGAATGAGCAGAAACTATAGGGCAACAAGGAACTGGTGAGGAAGAGAAAGTGGATACACCAAGAGAAGCAAGCATGTTGTGAAGCAAGGAACTGAAGGTCCCAGTTCCACGTGTGTCCTAAAAATCATCTCCCTTGTTCATTCATTCATTCATTCAATTATTCATTCAACCATGGTTTATTCTGTTAAGTACTATTCTAGTCAGGCTCTGGGGACTCCATATTAAGCAAGGCAGATAGTTCCTGCCCTATCGGGCTTATGTTCTGGTGGGAAAAATGGACAATTGTTGAGTAACAATTAAACAAAGACTGGAACAGAGGCATTCCTGATTATGAATGATGGAATGAAGGAAGGCAACTCAGGCCTGAGAGCGAGAAGCAGTGGGGAACTGATGATGGCAGACAAGGCGGGCTCTGAAGGTCAGATCTTGGAGAGGGCCTTGGAGCTGAGAATTAGAGGGTGGAGAGGAGGCAGCCAAGCAAAGGGTGTGTGGAGAGGACTTCACTCAGAAGACTCTGCCCATCTTGGGAGGGGTTTGCTTGCTTCCAAGAATGAGGTGAGAGACGTGGGGCTGGGATAAGCCAAAGGGAGGTGGGGTTGGAGGGGTGGGAGGAGCTGGATCAGTCCTGTTTTTCCGTTAACTTAGATTAAGTTCTGTTCCAGATGTGAAGAACTGCTGGGGGTGTCTCCCCATTCTGAGAAGCTTCAGTTTCTATGGGTAGTGATCAAACTAGGATGTATTCCCTCCCTGGCTTTTAGTGACTGTTGGTTAGCAAGGGAACTTACGTTAGACACTGTATTAAGCCTGTTTACTCTGATGTTTTAACATCTGGGGTCTTAATGATCCCAGCTCTCTGGGCTAGCTTGCAAAGCACACCTTTCAAATGCAAACCAAACAACCCAGATCCCACACACCAAATGCCCCCTTTATCAGGCTCTTACACTCTGGGCCACCACTCCCCTGCCCTAATCACACCAGGCCAGGTGCCAGATGACTCAGGACAGCCCCACATCCCACAGCCTACTCAAACCAGCCAATCCTAAACCTGCTTCCCCTGCCTTTCCCATTCCTTACCACAGAAAACCACAACAAAGGCTCTAGATCCCTTCACTCCCTCTGCCTCCTGACCTATCCCGACACTTCCCTGTGTGGTCCCTTGTGCTCCCTCTTCTCGGGAACTGTGAGTAATAAACTATCTTTTTACTGGTGGTCATTCCTGATCTGTTGGGTTTCACCACACCTAGATTATCTATCTATCTATCTATCTATCTATCTATCTATCTATCTATCTATCTAGACAGCATCTCGCTCTGTCACCCAGGCCAGAGTGCAGTGGTGCAATCTCAGCTCACTGCAACCTCCACTTCCCAGGTTCAAGTGATTCTCCTGCCTCAGCCTCCCGAGTAGCTGACATTACAGGCACACACCACCATGCCTGGCCAATTTTTGTATTTTTAGTAGAGACAGGGTTTCACCATGTTGGCCAGGCTGGTCTTGAACTCCTGGGCTCAAGTGATCCACACACTTTGGCTTCCCATAGTGCTGGGATTGCAGGTGTGAGCCACTGTACCTGGCCTCACCACATCTGAATTATAATAAAACCTACATTTTAAAACACATGCCCTTCCACCCAGTCTCTAAAACTTCGCCCACGGCCACCTTTTCCTACCTCCAGATGGTGATGGCCAGGGTGCACAAGACCCCGGTGAAGGAAGGGAAAAAGAGCAAGAAGATGAAGAAAGTCATCATCTGTGAGGCCCGCCAGGCTTTGCTTGGAGGCTGGAAATTCATCATCAGGCTGACCTGAAGAGAAAGAGGCAGCCCCTTCCCATCTGCAGCCAGAGCAGCAGCAGAGGGACCCCAGCCAGGCCCAGCTTCCTGAGACCTTCACAGAGCCCCCTTCCCCAGCTTTAAGCGCACCAGGTCACAGGCGTTTGAGCAAAACTGATTGATGGCAATGTTGGACCGACTCACATTTTTGGCGTAGAACATGATGAAAAGCATAATCATTTGGATAAAGGGCAGCAGGGGGCAGAAGAAGATTCCAATCCTGAGATGGAGAGAGGGTGAGTGTCAGAGGCTGGGAGGAGACACAAGGAGTGGGGGTGAATCTGGGTGGCTGGAGGGAAGAGAAAAAGGATGTTGTGGCCTGGCTTGTGTCTCCCCAAAAGTCCCTATGTTGAGGCCTTAACCCCCAATATCTCAGAATGTGATTGTATTTGGAGACAGGGCCTTTGAGAGGTGAATAAGGTAGAATGAGATCACTACGGCAGGCTGTAATCCAGTACAACTGGTGTCCCTAAAAGAAGAGATTAGGAGGCTGGGCGAGGTGGCACACGCCTGTAATCCCAGCACTTTGGGAGGCCCAGGCGGGTGAATCACCTGAGGTCAGGAGTTTGAGACCAGCCTGACCAACATGGCGAAACCCCATCTCAACTAACACAAAAATTAGCCAGGCATGATGGCACATGCTTGCAATCTCAGCTCCTTGAGAGGCTGAGGCAGGAGAAATCCTTGAACCCAGGAGGCGGAGGTTGAGGTAAACTGAGATTGTGCCATTGCACTCCAGCCTGGATGACACAGCGAGACTCCATCTCGAAAAACAAAAAACAAAAAACAAAAAAAAAGGAAGGAGAGGAGATTAGGACACAGACACACACAGATACGGAAGACCATGTAAAGACAGGGAGAAGATGGCCATCTAAAAGCCAATGAGAGAGGCCTGAGACAGATCCCTCCCTTCTGGCCCTCAGAAGAAACCAGCTCTACCCACACCTTGATCTTGGACTGCTCGCCTCCAGAACTGTGAGATAAGAAATTGCTGTTGTTTAAGCCAATTGCTGTTGTTTAAGTGTGTGGGACTTCGTTATGGCAGCCCCAGCAAACTAATACAGAGGGGGCCTGCTTCCATCCTGGCAAATTAGGCAGATTCCTCCCATACCAAGTATCCACAGCTACCTTCTTCCCAGCTCTGAAAAGGAGTTGTTTAAATTTGAGATGAAGTCTCATTCTGTCGCCTAGGCGGGAGTGCAGTGGCGCGATCTCACTATAACCTCTGCTCCCCAGGTTCAAGCAATTCTCCTGCCTCAGCCTCCCAAGTAGCTGGGACTACAGGTGCCTGCCACCACACCTGGCTAATTTTTTGTGTGTTTTTAGTAGAGACAGGGTTTCACCATCTTGGCCAGGCTGATCTTGAACTCCTGATCTCGAGATCCACCCTCCTTGGCCTTCCAAAGTGCTGGGATTACAGGCATGAGCCACTGTGCCTGGCTTGGAAAGATTTTAGAGAGAAACCACCCATCCACCTACCAACCCAACAGATGGTATTCAGCATGTCCTAACCTAGCAAGTCCCACATTTAAGGCATACTCTATGCCTTGCCCTCCTCCTTCTTGCTCCCCCATGGTATTCAAGAAGGTCTGACGTCCTGCAGGGACAAGGCATTCAAAAGCATCGAGTTCCAAATGAGAAAGGCATTCCGTTTCCAACTCTCCTTCAGCATTCTTCAGCTACAAAAGGAGAAAAATCTCAGTGGGGTGCTAGAATGCCTTAACTCTTAGCATGTGGCAATCTCCCTTTTTTTTTTTTTTTCTTTTTTAACAAAAAGGAGTAGGCCTTGTGCTGAGAGCCTTGGCAGACAGTATCATCTTGCTAGAATGTAATGACTGTTTGGCATGGGACTGCTTTTATTTTTCCAGTCATTTGTGATTTCTGTCAAATGGCACTGGTTTTTCCATTTATGATTGTAAATAAAGTTTCCTTTAAAAATGTATTTGAGAGGCCAGGCATGTGGCTCTTGCCTGTAATCCCATCACTTTTGGAGGCCGAGCTTGGCAGATCACCTGACATAAGGAGTTCACGACCAGCCTGGCCAACACGGCAAAACCCCATCTCTACTAAAAATACAAAAATTAGCCAGGCGTGGTGGCGCATGCCTGATGTTTTGCCATCTGGGGTCTTAATGACCTCAGGGAGACTGCTGATGTTGGGAAAAGCAGTCTGGCAGTTTACAAAGGCCTTTCTTCCACATTATTTCAAGTGGGATGCCATTGGGCAAGTTACTGAAAACCTCTCTAAATCTTAGTTTTCTAATCTTTAGATGGTAGACATACTAGTACCTACTCACAGGGTTTTGAGAGGATTAAATGGGCACAGTGGCTTACTCCTGTAATCCAAGCACTTTGGGAGTCTGATGAAAAGCAATTGTCATCTACCATGGCATTAAAAAAATGTATTTAAGAAAAGGCAAATAATAAAAAAATTAAGTAGGTAATAGTGCATGTGAAAGGTCACTATACCAAAAAATAGGCAGGCTGGTGTACAATAGACAAACTTGGGAAACATGTTCGTCACCTCACCTCTACCACTGTCCCTAACATATAGCCTTTTCTGTCATTATATTATCTTCTTGTAAAACTCATCATCAAAGGCAATATTCTCCTAAAACCACAAAGGTTAGAACTGTAATAACCATGGAGAAAAAAAAATACGTGTTTTTGATTGTGCTTATTCATAATTTATCGACAAAAATCTCAAAGGCCCAGAAGTCATAATGGTAATTTCTTTTTTTTTTTTTTCTTTTTGTGACAGAGTGTTGCTCTGTCTCCCAGGCTAGAGTACAATGGCATGATCCTGGTTCACTGCAACCTCCGCCTCCCTGGTTCAAGCTATTCTCCTGCCTCAGCTTCCCAAGTAGCTGAGATTACAGGCACATGCTACCATACCCAGCTAATTTGTATTTTTAGTAGAGTTAGGGTTTCACCAAGTTGATCAGGTTGGTCTTGAACTCCTGATCTCCAGTGATCTGACCGCCTCAGCCTTTCAAAGAGCTGGGGTTACAGGCATGAGCCACCATGCCTATTTAATCCTCTCGAAAGCCCTGTGAGTAGGTATCTCTACCATTTAAAGATTAGAAAACTAAAGTTTAAAAAGTGTTTATGTAACTTGTCCAATGACATCCTAGTTGAAATAATGTGGAAGAAAGGCCTTTGTAAACTGCCAAATTGCCAGGTGACATAGCAGCATGCAAATATGTCACCTAAACTACCAAAGAAAGGTCCTCACTGTCTCTAAAAAAATAAACTCATTGGGCCGGGTGCAGTGGCTCACGCCTGTAATCCCAGCACTTTGGGAGGATGGATCACTTTGAGGCGGGTGGATCATGAGGTCAAGAGATCGAGACCATCCTGGTCAACATGGTGAAACCCTGTCTCTACTAAAAATACAAAACATTAGCTGGGCATGGTGGTGCATGCCCAGCTACTCAGGAGGCTGAGGCAGGAGAATTGCCTGAACCCAGGAGGTGGAGGTTGTGGTGAGCCGAGATGGCGCCATTGCACTCCAGCCTGGGTAACAAGAGCAAAACTCCATCTCAATAAATAAATAAATAAATAAATAAATAAATAAATAAATAAATAAAATAAACTCATTAACCTTGAGTGATTTGCAGACAGCGAAGTCACCCAGGGCAGCTTTAAAGAGTCAGAAAATAAAACACTCTTCCATTGTATGACATACTGGCATTTGCAAAGCAATTTTCTTCCCCCGCCACCCACTTTTTTTTTTTTTTTTTTTTTTGAGATGGAGTTTTGCTCTTGTTGCCTAGGCTGGAGAGCCACGGTACAATCATCTCGGCTCATTGTAACCTTCCCCTCCCAGATTCAAACAATTCTCCTGCCTCAGCCTCCCAAGTAGTTGGGATTACAGGCAGGCGCCACCACACCTGGCTAATTTTTTGTATTTTTAGTAGCGATGGGGTTTCTCCATGTTGGCCAGGCTGGTCTCAAACTCCCGACCTCAGGTGATCTGCCCACCTCAGCCTCCCAAAGTGCTGGGATTACAGGCATGAGCCACTGTGCCTGGCCTGCAAAGCAGTTTTCATCTACCATGGCATTTAATCCTCAACATGATTCAAAGGCAGCTATTATATTCATTTACAGATGAGACTGAGGCTCAGACAAGCACAATGATCTCTGTGAGTGGCAGAGCCAGCCTCAGAATTCAGTTTATGCAATTCCAAATCCAATGCTTTCAAATTAGCAACACCCTATCAGATGGAACCTGGGAACGTGATTCACCATACAGAATTCTGGTGTTAATTGAATCATGTTAAAATAAATAAGGAAAAGTAAGGCAGGAAGATTGCATGAGCTCAGGAGGTTGCAACTGCAGTAAGCCATGATCACGCCACTGCACTCCAGCCTGATCAAGAGAGTGAGACCCTGTCTCAAAAATAAATAGGCTGAGCATGGTGGCTCACACCAATAATCCCAGAATTTTGGGAGGCTGAGGTCGGTGGGTCACTTGAGGCCAGGGGCTCAAAACCAGTATGGCCAAAATTGTGAAACCCTGTCTCTACTAATACAAAAATTAGCCAGGTGTGGTGGTTCATGCTTGTAGTCCCAGCTACTTGGGAGGCTGAGGCAGGAGAATTGATTGAACCTGGGAGGTGGAGGTTGCACCACTATACTTCAGCCTCACCAGCAGAGCAAGACTCTGCCTCAAAAAAAAAAAAAAAAAAAAAAGAAAGAAAGAAAGAAAGAAAGGAAAAACAAATAAATAAGGAAAGACAGCCACTGACTATTGGTTTGCAGTTTCCAGGTGAGTGTGTAAAAATATTTGCTGCAACCAGTTAGCTATTCTCAATGGCCAAAAACTATAGAGAACCCACCAAATGGTACATCAGATATAAGAAACACACAGCCCTCTCTGCCTCTGTTTATTGTCCCATTGCTGTGGAGACATGGATGCAAGGTGAAGTTTGCATCCAAACTAACAGCCTAAAGGTAATGAAAAATGGCAAATCAATGCTAGGAGACAACAGTTAAAGGTGGAGACTGTGGCAATCTGGAGAAGCTCGGTTTGCCACAGATCTTTCTGGAGAGAAGCCAGAAATTTAAGTGTTATGTGAACTCTCCTGAAGTTTAAATATGGGTGGTTGTCTTAGTCCATTCAGGCTGCTATAACAAAACATCATAAACTGGGTGGCTTATAAACACCAGAGGCCGGGCGTGGTGGCTCATGACTGTAATCCCAGCACTTTGGGAGGCCGAGGTGAGTGGATCACCTGAAGTCAGCAGTTCGAGACCACCCTGGCTAACATGGTGAAACCTGTCTCTACTAAAAATACAAAAAATTGGCTGGCATGGTGGCACATGCCTGTAGTCCCAGCTACTGGGGAGACTGAGGCAGGAGAATCACTTGAACCTGGGAGGCGGAGGTTGCAGTGAGTCGAGATCACGCCACTGTCACTCCAGCCTGGGTGACAGAGCAAGGCTCCATCTAAAAAATAAATAAATAAAACAGCAGAAATTTATTTCTTATGGTTCTGGGGGTTGGGAAGTCCAAGTTCAAGGTGCAGCAGATTTGGTGTCTGGTGAGGCCCTGCTTAGTGATTCCTAGATATTGCCTTCTCTCCACGTCCTCACATGGTGGAAGGGGCAAGGGGTCTCTCGGACCTTGTTTATAAGAGCACAATCCCATTCCTAAGAGCCATGTCAAAGATCAGATCACCTCCCAAAGACCCTACCTCCATCACGTAGGAAATTAAGTTTCAACATGTGAATTTGCGGGGAGACCCAAACATGGAGACTATAGCAGTGGTTAATTCAAATTTTTAGGAGCAAACAAAACACACCTGCAGGGCTGGACACGACCTGTGGGCCTCCAGGTTGAGATCCCTGCTCTATGCTGATTCTTGTCTGAAGTCCTTAAGCTCTCATAAAGGAAAATAATAGTCTCAATGCTGAATTCATGGTTCTCAGACTGACCAGATGGGGCATCACCCATGCAGCTTTAAAAACAACAGATTCTGGGGCTTTGCCACCAAAACGCCAACCCAACAGTCACATAGGAACCACTGGGCATTTTGCTGTGTCACAAAACTTACCACACCAGAGTTTGTGCGTAGATCAGTTCTAGAACGTTCCTGGCAATGTCAAACTCCTGGACTCCAAGACTTCTGATCAGTCGCATCCCAATGATTCTGTGAAGACATACTGAATTTAGTACCCAAACCATAACTCCCACTTTCAAAAGATCCCCCACAGACTAGGACAAACAGCAGAAGAGACCCTCACCAGCTTGAAATAAAGTCATAAGTTCCCCTGCAAATTTTTCAAAATTTCTAAATCTATAAACATGTTTTTGAACAAGTAATCGAAGGGATTGAGGGAAAACTAGTTTAATAAAATGCAGTGAAGTGGGGATTTAAAAAATTCTAGAGAACATTTGTTACCCTGAACATTTAAATTATCCCACTATTATGTTATACCCCTCTTTGGTAATTAAACATTTTTTTTTCATGAACCAGATGAACTCAGCACCTTTCAAATAAACATTTGAAAGATATTTAATTGAGAACTCAACTCAAACTTTTTTTTTTTTTTTTTTTTTTTAAGACGGAGTTTCGCTCTTGTTACCCAGGCTGGAGTGCAATGGCGCAATCTCGGCTCACCGCAACCTCCGCCTCCTGGGTTCAGGCAATTCTCCTGCCTCAGCCTCCTGAGTAACTGGGATTACAGGCACGCACCACCATGCCCAACTAATTTTTTGTATTTTTAGTAGAGACGGGGTTTCACCATGTTGACCAGGATGGTCTCGATCTCTTGACCTCATGATCCACCCGCCTTGGCCTCCCAAAGTGCTGGGATTACAGGTGTGAGCCACTGCGCCCGGCCAACTCAAACATTTTTAAATGTCTAGTTGCTGCTATCAAATTAATTATTTTTTCCTGTATTCTAAATCCACAAGAAGGAAACCAAGTTTCCACTTACTCCGTGGAAACTTTATTCCATATTAATTTATTAATAAAAAGTTGTCAATTAAAAAAAAGTTCTGTCAAAAAACAAAAAACCCTTTTTTTTTTTTTTTTTTTTTTTTTTTTTTTTTTTTTTGAGATGCAGTCTTGCTGTGTCACCCAGGCTGAAGTGCAATGGCATAATCTCGGGTCACTGGAACCTCTGCCTCCTGGGTTCAAACAATTCTCCTGCCTCAGCCTCCCAAGTAGCTGGGATGACAGGCGTGCACCACCACTCTTGGCTAATTTTTGTATTTTTAGTAGAGACAGGCTTTCACTACATTGCCAGGCTGCTCTTGAACTCCTGACCTCAGGTGATTCACCCACCTCGGCCTCCCAAAGTGCTGGGATTACAGGCATGAGCCATTGCACCCAGCCAAACCTTTTCACCTTTATGTCCAGACCCTCAACAGAGGGTAGAATAAAAGCACATTTTGGCATAAATTAATGAGAAAATTTGGCATTGAATCTACTCACTAGCAAGTAATCATCATCACACCATCTTATCTGATAGTCAGACCATCTTATTACTAGAGCAGCTTACAGAAATACATAAATGTCTATAAGAAATAAGAGGTTCATCATATTATTTTTAAAAATTACTAAATTTTAAAAACCAGACATGACAATGACAATGCCTCAATTCTGTATATATTCTATTTAATATAAAATTGGCACATTAATTCAATTAAAACAATGAGATAAACCTACATGTACTGACATGGAAAGATGTCAAGACATAGTGGTAGATTAATTAAAGCATATTCTACAATATGATGCAGTGTGACTCCATTTTTGCTTTTGAAAATTATATAGTATTGTAAAAAAAAACACACACACAGAGCAACGTGTGTGTAGAAAAATCTGGAGGAATATATACTATAGTATTAAAATTATCCATAGTGGATAAGATTTCTTTCTTTTTTTTTTTTTAATTTTTTTCTTTAGAGACTGTCTTGCTATGTTGCCCAGGCTAGTCTTGAACTCCTGGCCCAAGTGATCCTCCCACCTCAGTTCCCCAAAGTGCTAGGATTACAGGCATGAGCCACTGCACCCAGCTGGATAAAATTTCAAATGGCTCAGTTTCTGTCTTTTATTTCTAAAATTTGTTTTCAAAAGAAGGTTGTAAAGGGTCAACTGAACCAAGTGAGCTATGACAACAGAATTGTCACGTTAAGGGGAAATTTTAGCTAATGTAGGAGAGAACAGTATCCCTAAGGACAACAGGTAGAGTTGGAACAATGCATGCTTTGAGTATGTAAGGAATCTGTACATCCCTCTCAGCCAGAAACCAGGTTCTGGTTACAGCATCAGGTACTAATTACTTAAGAATGACAAATAATTACCTCCTCAAAAACTCTCCCAGGAAGGAATCAGCTAAAGAGAACACAAAATCCATCAGAAGGAGCCGGTAGATTTCCTGGCCAATTAGAGTTTCCCAACACTGAAAGGCAAACAACAGTCGGAATGTGGGAAGGGGCTGTGGCCTCAGTTCAGTTCTCCTCTATTCCTAGCTCTATGTACCCATTAGGACATGGCTAATGATTTGGTTTGCCCAAGTCTCTGTGTACCCAAAAAACTAGACCCACTCTAAAAATGCAGCCGAGTTTGTTTTCAGCGGTGTTATTCCCTTTTTGGTTTCCTTCTTTTCCCCCTTAAAGCTTGCCTTGCACATATCATATACCCAAACTTTCCCTGCTCATGTTCTCTCCCCTTAGAACTTTTCATCTCTGCCCTATCCCCTCTGGATCTCATTTCTCAGCCAGGAGCAATCAGTTTCTTCAAGAGACCAAGAAGTGTCAATGGCTAAGAATGCCTTCACTCTTTTTGCTTATTGGCCTTACAACAAAATCAATTAATATCTGCTTGATTAAGAAAGTGGCCTAGAGGTTTAGCAGGCTAGTGTAAACTGGAAGCTCAAATTAGTTAGTCTATAAAACTAGTAGCTAGGAACCTCTGCAGGAAGTCAGTGCTATCAGCTGATAGACTGGGAGCTTTTAGATTTGGCTGAAGGAGGAGAGAAAACTTTTGGGTGCACAGGCCAAGGATGAATGGATGTATGGATGGGTAAATGGATGGATGATGGATGTATGGATGGGTAAATGGAGGGATGATGGATGTATGGACGGGTAAATGGAGGGATGATGGATGAATGGATAGATGGATACATAAATGGATGGATGAATACATGGATTGATAGATAAATGGATGGATGCATGCATGAATGGATACATGGATGAATAAAGGGATGGATGGTTGGATAAATGAATGGATAGATGAATACATGAATGGATGGATAAATATATGTATGGATAGATGGATAAATGGATAGATGAATGGATGCATACATAGATGGATAAAAGGATAAGTAGATGGATGTATGAATGGATGGATAGATGGATACATAAATGGACAGATGAATACATGGATGGATGAATATATGCATAGATGAACAAAAAGATGATGGAGGGATAGATGGATAGATGGATGCATGAATTGATAAATGCATGGAAGAATAACATGGTATCTGCTCTAACCATCCTAACTTGGAGGGCTGATTTTGAATCTCTTTGACAATTAGGGAAAGAAGTTGAGGGTGCCATGTTCATGTAAGATGGTTTGAGTCCAGACACAGCAGAGCTATTTTGGGGCCCAGGAATAATGGGTAACAGCGAAACAGAGGCAGGCTCCTAATTCCTTGACTCTGCTGCTGGCCGCAGGGCATCCTGGGTATCTGAGGGCTCACGATGACCATCCTCTAAGGATTATTGTGTGATGTGAAGGCACATTCTCATGGGGGATGCAATAGCAGGGGCAGAGGTATCCCAATGAGAAGGCCAGAGAGGCTGGTTTGTTCCTGAATCCACATAGGACACCATCCTCAGAATAAGGGCATCAGGCACCCATTCTCTGAGGTTAGGGAAGATTAAAAACTATAGGTAAGTGAAGGAGGGTCAGGAACAGTCAGCATTAGGACATAATTGTTATTTCCAGTATTTATGAGCTTATCGATCAGTAAAGCCCAGGGTATCTAGGTTACAGGAAAAACAGAACAACAAGGATCTAAAAGGATTTTGTTCAACCCTAAGGCTGTTAAAATAGACTAGCACTAAAATTACTACCATCCATTGCATATGCTGGGCACTGTACTTATACTACATATGGTATTGCTTAATCCCAATTTTACAGATGAGAAAACTGAGGCTAAAAGAGATTAAGTGATTCAGCAGATGACACAGCACAGCTGGCCTTCAAATCAGATCCTCCTGACTTCAGAACCTGAGCTCTTTTGTTGAGACCCATTTTGCCTTATGTTGCTTCCCAGATTAGTTTCCATTCTCTTCCCACAAGGAATTAATACCAAATACGGAGTGTGATGGCTCTCAAGAAACCCATGTCCTCCCTGTTGGTCAAATGCTAAGAAATCAAACTTAAGGCAGAGAAGCATAGAATCTTACCTCTTCACCAGACAGGGCCACAGTGTTGAGCCAATAGTAACAAAGAATGCCAATGATTGATATTTTCAGAAAGATGTTTCTAAACAGAAGAAACAACATTTATGATTATCTTCAATGACAGTCTTTCATGCTGTCTGCCAATAGTTCCTTTTGGGCACATGGTAAGGTAGAAATTCCTGGCCCCTATAGTTGGAGGGGGGCAAATGGCTAGTTCCAGTGAATGAATTGTGAGCAGAAGCAATGTGTGTCACTTCTAAGCTGGAGCACTTAATGCGCCTGTGAGACTCTCCAGAACTCCCCATCTTCTCTTTGGAATGGTGACCAGTGATATTCAAGATGGCTGCTGCTCTCTCAGCCTGGATCCCTCAGTGACTAACATGAGAAGGCCCCTTTTGACAATCCACACTGTGTATGTAACATGAGCAAGAAATAAACCTTTGTGTTCCAAGCCCCTGAGATTTGGGGGCTTGTTACTGCAGCATAACCTAATTTATTCTGAATGATACCTTCTCTTTTGTTGAATTTCCAAATGATTTAATTTCACTTCCTGTTATATTAATAGTAAATGTACAAAATGTTTATTGGGTGCTGACCCAAAATACACTGCCAAACTCGTTACTGAATCATCCCCGTCAGTCTTTACAACTCTATCATCTGGTAGATGGTATTTTATGTCCATCATACTCAATATGCAAGGTTAAGGGGTGAGAGTGAGACCTAACATTTTCCCTTCTATACATACTTAAAGAAGTGGCATCATGGATCAGTGGGTGGGATGTGGGGAATAATGAGGGTATAGGAATATAGTCAGAATTAACTTTCTTTCTTTCTCTCTTTTTTTCCCTTCCTCCCTCCCTTCCTCTCGTCCTCCTGTCCTCCCATCCTCCCTTCCTCCCTCTTTTTTCAGACAGGATCTCATTTTGTTACCCAGACTGGAGTACACGAGTGTGGCCATGGCTCACTGCAGCCTCGACCTCCCGGGCTCAAGCACTTCTCCTACCTCAGCCACTTGTGTAGCTGGGACTACAGGAGCAATCCACCATGCCCAACTAATTTTTAAATTTGTTGTAGAGACAGAGTCTCACCACGTTACCCAGGCTGGTCTTGAACTCCTGGGCTCAGGCAATCCTCCCACTTTGGCCTCCCAAAGTGCTAGGATTACAGGCAGGAGCCTCTGCACCTGGCTGGAATTTTCATAATATCAATTGGATATAATTGACTGACTGATTTGCTCATTCATTCATCAATCATTCTTGAGCACCTATGATAGCTCAGGCACTGTGAACAAGGCAAAGATTTCCCTGTAAACTGTGGGGGAGGAAGGTAAATAAACACAAATATGTTAGGAAGTGATAAAAAAAATTATATGGTAGAAGACAAAGGGTGGGAGGGAGCTGTTATTTTTAATGAAGTGTGCAAGGAAGAGCGCGACATGAGGGTGATGTTTGAAGAACGCAAAAGGCAGTCAGTAAGCAAGCCTTGGGTGTGGGTGGGAAGAATATTCCAGGCCCATGCAAAGGTCCAGAGGTGGGAAAATAGCTTGGCATGTTCGTGAACAGTTAGGAGGTCAGTGACAGGGACAGGCGATGAGCAGCAAGGAAAGGGAGAAAAAATGAGGCTTGAGAGTGCTGGCCAGGAGTCAGATCTCACAGACCATGGTAAGGCAAGGGCTCTGGAACTGATCAGCAGAGAAACTCAGTCCGCGTTATACAGACCTATACTTTTTTCTTTTCCTTTTTTCTCTCTTTTTTTTTTTTTTTTGAGATGGAATCTTGCTCTGTTGCCCAGGCTGGAGTGCAGTGGCCGGGTCTTGGCTCACTGCAAACTCCACTTCTTGGGTTCAAGTGATTCTCCTGCCTCAGCCTCCCAAATAGCTGGGATTACATATGTACACGACCACATCCAGCTAATTTTTATATTTTTAGTAGAGACAGGGTTTCACCACGTTGGGCAGACTGGTCTCGAACTCCTGACCTCAGGCGATCCACCCACCTTGGCCTCCCAAAATGCTGGGATTACAGGCGTGAGCCGCCGTGCCTGGCCTACAGCCCTGTACTTATGAACCCCACCATAACCAGGAACAAGTCAGGAAAGAAACCAGAAGGACAAAATTTGGGTAACTTCAGGCTTTGTTTATCAAAACTCCAGGATTACTTCTAGCACATATGATGCCTTTGTGGGAATCACAAAAAGGCACCCTGTGGGTGCCAGTGAGTTGCCCAAAGCATTCCTCCCACCTTTGTTTGGGTGGTGGAATTACAAAAATGCACCTCTTTCTCCCTCCTGAGGCCATGGACACCAGGACTCACAGCTTGACTAAGGGGAACACTGGATGATTTCAGTCTCCTCCTCACTCAGGAGCCTTTGTGCAGTGCACTGCCTGCCCATCTGTACCTCCCGTACTTGAGAACTACATCAATCCGCCACTGGTAGCAATCAAGAAAGCAATCAAGCCATGACTTTGAGCAAAAGCCCACACCATACAAACACACTTCATTCTTTTTTTGTTGTTTAAGACAGGGTCTTGCTCTGTCACACAGGCTGGAGTGCAGTAGTGCCATCATAGGTAACCTCAAACTCCTGGGATCAAATGATCCTCGCACCTCAGCCTCCTGAGTAGCTAGCACTAACAGGTGCATGCCACTGTATCCAGCTGATTTTCTGTAGAGGCAGCATCTGGCTATGTTGCCCAGGCTGTTCTCAAACTCCTGGTCTCAAGTGATCCTCCTGCCTCAGCCTCCCACAGTGCTGGGATTACTGGCATGAGCCACCATGCCCAGCCACACTTTATTTTTGAAATTCTGTCTTTCTGGAGAACAAAACTTTGATACTAAAGCATAATCCTTTCTAGCTCCCATCCCACTTCTCTTCATGGAAATAGAAGCTGGTGCTGGGTGCGACAGATGACCTACCGGATCAGGAGAACGTAGACTTCGTGCCGCGGCATCTCGTACCTCTCCACGAGCCTGAACATGGAGTAGATACGTGGCACGGCTAGATTAATGCAGGACACAATGAAAGGCAGTAACAGCACTGCCCCGGGGTTCTTGTGTGTCTTCAGGAACTGCAGGGCATAGAGGAGAGAATGGAGAGCTGGCTTGTACACTGTACCCCTTTCAGCCTCACTCAGAAGTCTCCGTGATGGAAAACCCCAGAAGTAGCTCCTCTGGGGTTAACTATTTATTTATTATTTTAAAAAATATTTTTGAGATGGAGTCTCGCTCTGTTGCCCAGGCTGGAGTGCAGTGGCATGATCTCAGTTCACTGCAACTCCGCCTCCTGGCTTCAAGCGATTCTCCTGCCTCAGCCTCCTGAGTAGCTAAGATTACAGGCCCCCCCCACCACACCCGGCTAATTTTTTAATTTTTAGTAGAGACAGGGTTTCCCCATGTTGGCTGGTTGGTTTCAAACTCCTGACTTCAGGTGATCCATCCACTTTGGCCTCCCAAGGTGCTGGAATTCCACTGCACCAGGCCAGGTTAGCTATTTATTAAGCTCCCATTAATTCGTGTACCCCGTGCCAAACAAACCAAGGCTCAGGGAGGGGAAGACACCTGTCCGGGGTTGCCCAGCAAAGAAGTGGCAGATCGGAGCCTAGGTGCGTCTGACTCAGGAGCCTGAGCTCGAACAGTCATTCTGTGGCTTTCCCTTTTTTTTTTTTTTTTTTTTTTTTACAAGATACCAGGGGCATGAGGACATGCTCCCTCCTGTTGAGCAAAGCTGAGTCTCCTGAAGCTACAGCCCAAGGGTAACAATCACCACAAAATTTCTCCTTCCCTCTCCTGTGCGGCCTTGTTCCCTTTTACCAGGCTTCACCTGTCTCTGAGTTCTGAATTAAGGGGTTGGGGTGCCTTTGCTAGCCTGTGCTGCACATTTTTTTTTTTTGAGCCAGAGTCTCACTCTGTTACCCAGGCTGGAGTACAGTGGTGCAATCTCTGCTCACTGCAACCTCTGCCTCCCAGTTTCAAGTGATTCTCCTGACTCAGTCTCCCGAGTAGCTGGGATTACAGGTGCGCACCACCACAGCCAGCTAATTTTATGTTTTTAGTAGAGACAGGATTTCGCCATATTGGTCAGGCTGGTCTCGAACTCCTGATCTCAAGTGATCTGCCTGCCTCGGCCTCCCAAAGTGCTGGCATTACAGGCATGAGCCACCGCACCCGGTCCCATTCTGCACTTTTGTGTGATGCTGGGAGAGGCACTGGGCCTCCAGGAGGAGGCAGCACTCTGGCATTTTGCTGGGAGTGGAGCCGGGGCTACGCCTCTGCCAGGCATCCTTCCATGGGTCTTGAAGTCAGGGATTCCAATGGATTTATCTGATGTCTCACCTTCCCACCTCTTCCCTGCATGTTCTCACCCTATTTCCGTCTACCTATGGATGGTTCAAAGGCACCACTTGCATTTTTGGTGGTATCTTTGGAGCCAGGGAGCCAGGGTAACCTGGGTTCCAATGCGGTTCCCTCCCCACACATAAGCTGCAAAGTCTGGGGCCGGAGCCTTAGCTTCTCTGAGCCCCTTTTCTCTATCTGTACAATGGAGAGATGATCACATAATCCACAGAGATGCTGCAAAAATTAACTGAGATCAAACAAGGCAAGGTCTGGCCCCAGGGCTATGAAGCGACGCAGTTGAGCTGAGCTACCATTCGCATGACACTGTAGTCACCAATGAATGGCTACCACTGTAGCTGGGACTAAAAGAGCACGCCACCATGCCAGGCTAAGTTTTAAAATTTTTGTAGAGATGGAGTCTCCATGGTGCCCAGGCTGGTCTTGAACTCCTGGGTTCAGGTGATCCTCCCGCCTCAGCCTCCCAGAGTGTTGGCATTACAGGTGTGAGCCACTGTGCCTCACCCCTGCGTGTCTGACAAGATCCTAGGTTGAGCCGTGGGCTGCACGCCACCCCTCCCTTCCAGCATTTCACCCCTTCACCTGGTTCTCTCTGCCCTGAGCCCTGGTGTTGGTTACCTCTAAGTTGTACTCAGCCAGGTAATAAACGGCTGCACAGCAGGCGATGGCCACTCCTGTAGAGACAACCCAGGCCACCACGTAGGCAGAGAAGCGGGTCAGCTGCTGATTGAATGTCAACTTGGCCTTCTCCTGACAGAGCTCTGACAGGTTCTCCTAGAAACGTAACAAATCAAGTTTACGGCTGGACGCGGTGGCTCACACCTATAATCCCAGCACTTTGGGAGGCTAAAGCAGTCATGAGTTTGAGACCAGCCTGGCCAACATGGTGAAATCCCATCTCTACTAAAAATACAAAAATGAGCCAGGTGTGGTGGTGCATGTCTGCCATCCCAGCTACTTGGCTGGCTGAGGCAGGAGAATCGCTTGAAACCGGGAGGTGGAGATTGCACTGAGCAGAAATCGTACCACTGCACACCAGCCTGGGCGACAGTGAGACTCTGTCTCAAACAATAAACAAACAAACAAATAAATGAAAGTCAAGTTTATTCAGAGATCCCTCTCCACTGCTAGCAAAGATCCCCAGGGAACTCTTGTCATACCCAGAGACATAAATCCAGCCCAAATCCACAGTTGAGAGAGAGGGGGAACATTCACAATGAGCATGGATTATGGGAGACCCATGGCGGACTCTGAAAAGGGCCAAGAATCCCCAAACACTGCTTCCTTCTTAGAGAAACAGATGAAGTTAATAGATTGGGACCATGTTCTTGAGAAAAGCACACTGAGGTCACGAAACTCTTTCTTGAAGCATAGGTTGGGTATCCACACTGAGGGAGACACTCACATCTGCAACCCCTCTTGTCAAGGCTTCTTTATTTGGCTGGGTTTTGTGGCTCACACTTGAAATCCCAGCACGTCGGGGAGGCCAAGGTGAGAGGATCACTTGAGCCCAGGGATTCAAGACCAGTCTGGGCAACATAGTGAGGCTCTCTACAAAAGATGTAAAAATTAGTTGGGCATGGTGGTGTGTACCATGGTCCCAAACTACTCAGGAGGCTAAGGTGGGAGGATAAGTTGAGCCCAGGAGGTCAAGGGTGCAGTGAGTTATGACTGCACCACTGCACTCCAGCCTGGGCGACAAAGCAAGACCTTATCTCAAAAATAATTAAAAAAAAATTTTTAAGTACCTTTATTTATAAAATCATTTGCTCTTTCTTCCTAATAAGTTTGTGTCTATAAACCATGAGTTCCCAACCTCTGCACTACTGACACTGTGGGCTGCAGAATTCTCTGTTGAGGGGGATGTTCTATGCATTGTTTAGCAGCATCACTGGCGTCTACCCACTAGATACCAAGAGCACCCTTTTCCCAAGCCAAAAAAGTCTCCAGAAGTTGTCAAATGTACTCCAGAGGGGCAAGATTTCTCTGGGTTGAAAATCATTGCCCTGGCAGGCTCACAACAGTAATCCCAGTACTTGGGAGGCTGAGATGGGAAGATCACTTGAAGTTAGGAGTTCGAGACCAGCATGGTCAACATAGTGAAACATCATCTTTACTTTAAAAAAATCCAAAAATCAGCCAGGTGTGGTGGCAGGTGCCTGTAACCTCAGCTACCTGGGAGGCTGATGCAGGAGAATCACCTGAACCCAGGAGGCAGAGGTTGCAGTGAGCCGAGATCATGCCACTGCCCTCCAGCCTGGGTAACAGAGTGAGATTCCATTAAAAAAAAAAAAAGAAAACCATTGCCCAAAAGCAAATTTCTCCCTTCCCCTCCCCTCCCTCCTCCTCTCCCTTCCTCCCCTCCCTCCCTCCCTTCCTTCCTTCCTTCTTTCCTTTTTCTTTCTTTTCCTTCCTTCCTTCCTTCTTTCTCTTTCTTTCTTTCTTTTGAGACAAGTTCTCACTGTGCTTTCCAAGTTAGTCTTGAACTTCTGAGCCGAGGCCATCCGCTTGCTTTGGCCTCTCAAAGTGCCGGGATTACACAGGCATGAGCCACCCAGAGAAAAGTGCCTGGCCTAGAGACAAATTTAAATCTGGAACTGTGAGGTCAAGAAACAGGTACATTGGCCAGGTGCAGTGGCTCACACCTGTAATCCCAGCACTTTGAGAAGCCAGGATAGGAGGATCCCTTGAGCCCAGGAGTTCGGGACCAGTCTGGGCAACATAAGGAGACCTTGTCATCACAAAAAATAAAAATTAAACAATTAGCTAGGTGTGATGGCTCACGCCTGTAATCCCAGCTACTCGAGGGGCTGAGGAAGGAGGATCACTTGAACCCAGGAGTTCGAGGTTTACAGTGAACTATAATTGAGCCATTGCACTCTAGTCTGGGCAAAGTACATTTAACAGTGATATACATTGCTAAACTGACCTCCAATAAGATTATACTGGAGGGCCGTGGTGTGATCTTGTCTCACCACAACCTCCACCTCCTGGGTTCAAGTAATTCTCCTGTTTCTGTCTCCTAAGTAACTGGGATTACAGGCACCCATTGCTACACCCAGCTAATTTTTGTATTTTTAGTAGAGGCAGGATTTTACTCTATTGGCCAGGCTGGTCTCGAACTCCTGACCTCAGGTGATCCACTCAGTTCCCTGTTGCTGCTGTAGCAAATGACCACCAACTTAGCAGCTGAAAATAACACAAATTTGTTCTCTTACTCTTCTGGAGATCAGAAGTTAGAAAATGTTTTTTGCGTTTTGTTTTCATGGGAAAATGCTCATTTCTCTACACTATACCCAGCTCTTGGCATTATGAATATTTTAATTTTTTTTTCCAGTCTCATGGGCAATAAAACAGTAGTTCATTATTACTTTAAGAAAAGTTACTGGCATACTGCAGAAGGGGAGACCTGACCACAGCAAACGAGTCAAGTGAGCTCGCCTTACCCTTATCTCAGTGCTAAGGTTCTTCTGTTTTAGCTTCACAGCTTTTTCATGAGTGACAGTGAAGTCCCAGCAAAAGATCAGCTTAGTGATCCCTCCGGAGTAAATGTGGGGGTTAATGAAGTTGTTCCGGAAATACCTGGCCATGCTAGAGAAGGCAGAAACCAAAATATCCCAAGGTTATTACAACAGTCATTGGGAATGCAGGGCTTCAACAGACAGCCCCATTACTGATGGGGAAAGGCAGCGTGAAGACAGCCCCAGGCTGTTGGCCTGGAGCCATGTGGTCACAGCACAGCGGTGAAACGGGCACTGGCTTTGGGACTGCACAGGCCTGGCTTGCGGCTCTGGATCTTTGTCCACTGAGCAACCTTTGTCCTGTGAATTGTTCTGATTCTGAGCTTCAGTTTCCACATTTGTAGAGAAGGAATAACAATAGTACTCACCTCACAGAGTTGTGTTTTCGTTTTTTTGGTTTTTTTTTTTTTTTTTTTTTGAGACAGAGTTTTGCTTTTATCTCCCAGGCTGGAGTGCTGTGGCGTGATCTTGGCTTGCTGCAACCTCCACCTCCTCCCGGGTTCAAGCGATTCTCCTGCCTCAGTCTCCCAAGTAACTGGGATTATAGGTGCCCATTGCCACACCCAGCTAATTTTTATATTTTTAATAGAGGCAGGGTTTCACCATGTTGACCAGGTTAGTTTCAAACTCCTGACCTCAGGTGGTCCACCCAGTTCCCTGTTGCTGCTGTAACAATTGGCAACCAACTTAGCAGCTGAAAACAACACAGATTTGTTCTCGTACCCTTTTAGAGATCAGAAGTCAGAAAATGTTTTTCCTTGGTGTTTGTTTAGAGACGAGGTCTTACTGGCTGTGTGGCCCAGGCTGGGGTGCAGTGGTGCAGTCATAGCTCACTATAGCCTTGACTTTCTGGGCTCAGGCGATCCTCCCGCTACAGCCTCCAGAGTAGCTGGAACTACAGGCACATGCCACCATGCCCAGCTAATCAGAAAATGAGTCTCACAGGGCTAAAATGAAGGTGTTGGCAGGCTGTGTTCCTTCTGGAAGCTCTAGGAGAGAATCCATTTCCTTGTCTTTTCCAGCTTCTAGATGCTGTCCTCTTTCCTTGGCTTGTGGCCATCTCCATCTTCAAAGCCAGCAGGGTAGCATCTTCCCATCCCCCCACTTCTCTCTGACCTCCTGCCTCCCTCTTATAAAAACCCTTGTGATCCATTGGGTCCACCCAGATAATCCAGGATAATCTCCCCATTTAAAAATCCTCAATCACATTTTCAAAGTCCCTTTTGTTATGTGAAGTCACATATCCACCAGTTCGGGGAATTAGCATGTAGACATCTCTGGGGGTGGGGGCAGATGATTCAGCTTTCCAAAGAGTCCATGCAGTGCTTGAGCATCAAGCACTTGATGAAGTCACTGTTATTGTCATGGGATATCTTAGGCCCAGGAAGCCCTCAGCACACACACAAAAATGCTGCATAAAACGGATACTGCTGTTCTGAAATTTGCCATTACTCAACAGCAACTTAAGAATCTCAGCTGACTGCAGCCTTGACCTAATGGGCTCAGGTGATTCTCTCATGTCAGTCTCCCAAGTAGCTGTGACTACAGGCGTGTGCCACCAAGCCAGGCTAATTTTTTATATTTTTAGTAGAGATGGGATTTCGCCATGTTGCCCAGGCCAGTCTTGAACTCCTAGATTCAAGTGATTTGCCCACCCCAGCCTCCCAGAGTGCTAAGATTACAGGCGTGAGCCACCGTAGCCAGCCTACACATATTTTCACTGTGTATTTTCCATCTGTACCTCCTCTCTGATAGTTATCTATTCTGTTCTTCTGTCCATATCATTGCTAGGGTAATTGCATCTTTATTATCAGGCTGACCAATTTCTTTTTTTTTTTTATTGCATTTTAGGTTTTGGGGTACATGTGATGAACATGCAAGATTGTTGCATAGGTACACACATGGCAGTGTGCTTTGCTGCCTTCCGTCCCCTCACCTGTATCTGTCATTTCTCCCCATGCTATCTCTTCCCACCTCCCCACCCCCCGTCCCTCCTCCATTTCCCCCCAAAGGACCCCAGTGTGTAGTGCTCCCCTCCCTGTGTCCATGTGTTCTCATTGTTCAACACCCGCCTATGAGCGAGAATATACGGTGTTTGATTTTCTGCTCTTGTGCAGGCTGACCAATTTCTTTAAAAGCAGAGAAAATCCTCTCTTCTGTCGAAGCTCTTATTTTACAGGGCAGGACAAGGAATGATAGGACAGCAATACAAAGTCAAAACTGCAGTCCGGGCACAGTGGCTCACGCCTGCGATCCCAGCACTTTGGGAGGCTGAGGCGGGTGGATCACCTGAGGTCAAGAGTTTGAGATCAGCCTGGTCCACATGGTGAAACCCCGTCTCTACCAAAAATTACAAAAATTAGCTGGGCATGGTGGCGCACACCTGTAATCCCAACTACTTGGGAGGCTGAGGAGGGAGAATCGCTTGAACCCAGGAGGCAGAGGTTGCAGTGAGCCAAGATTGTGCCATTGAACTCCAGCCTGGGTGACAGAGCGAGACTCTGTCTCAAAAAAAAAAAAAAAAAAAAAAAAAAAAAAATTCAAAACTGCAGAGAAACTGTTACCTGGGTAATTTTTGAATTTTTGCCTAAGTCTAACATGACCTTCAGAATCAGGAAATGCAGACGCTTCCATACCTGAACAGCAAACTGAAGAAGCAGGTGGTCAAGCACGCTCCGATCGTGAAGATGTAGGCCAACTGCATGTTGTAGGATGCCCCACTGTTCCCGTGCTGGATGGTGGAATTGGTGTAAAAGCCATAGTACATGACCGTGTCCCTAAAATAACCCTGAAAGGGACAATAAACCCTAGGTCAGGTGGATCTCCTGAAAAAAAAGGTAAATGAGTATGGTCATCAGAGTTGACCTCTTCTGAATACAAGAAGCTTGGGCCAGTCGGTTTAGACATCTTGTTGTCCAGGAAAGGGCCACCGAAAATTTGGACATTGTGTCACTGGGCTCTCAGACTTGAAAAGAAATCCAACATCAGTTTATAATGGAGACATTGAGCTGTTACCACCTGGACCCAGTGACCAAGTGAAACACCAGCAAGAACAAGACAGCTAGGCCTGTCGTGTCACCAGTATTATGTGCCTCTGTCACCAGTGTTATGAATAAACATGTTTGGCCAGGTGTGGTGGCTCATGCCTGTAATCTCAGCACTTTGGGAGGCTGAGGCAGGCGGATCATGAGGTTAGGAAATCGAGACATCCTAGCCAACGTGGAGAAACCCTGTCTCTACTAAAATACAAAAAATTAGCCAGGCATGGTGATGCATGTCTGTAGCTACTTGGGAGGCTGAGGCAGGGAAATTACTTGAACCTGGGAGGCGGGGATTGCAGTGAGCCGAGATCATGCCACTGCACTCCAGCCTGAGCAACAGAGCAAGACTCCATCTCAAAACAAACAAACAAATGCTTAATGGGAAACAAATCAAGACTTTAGACCTACATTTCAGTGCACAGGAAATAAGAAGCCAGAGAAACAAATTCTAGAGATCACTAGAAAATAACCAGACAATTCCAGAAGGTAGGACGTTGGAATCTACACAGCAGTTGGCTTAATTTCTACAATAAGCCAATGTTAAGAAAAAAGGGGCTGGGCTGGGGAGATTATTTTAGATTAATAGAGATTTAAGGGGGAAAAATCCATGGAATGTGAAATCTGGTTGTTGATGGAATCCTGGTCTGAATAAGCAAGTTATGAAAGACATTTTGGGATCCATGCATGATGACTCACACCTGTAATCCCAACACTTTGGAGGTCAAGGTGGATGGATCACTTGAGGTCAGGAGTTCAAAACCAGCCTGGCCAATACAGTGAAACCCTGCTTCTCCTAAAAATACCAAAAAGTGGCCAGATGTGGTGGCGCATGCCTGTAATCCCAGCTACTCTGAAAGCTGAGGCATGAGAATTGCTTTAACCTTGGAGGTGGAGGTTGCAGTGAGCCGAGATTGTGCCATTGCACTCCAGCCTGGGTAACAAGAGCAAAACTCTGTCTCGAAAAAAAAAAGAAAAAAGAAAGAGAGGAAGAAAGGAAGGAAGGGGGGGGAGGGATGGAAGGAAGGAAGGAAAGAGTAAGGGAGAAAGAAAGAGAGAAAGGAAGGAGGGAAGGAAGGAGAAAGGAAGGAAGGAAGGAAAAGAAAAGAGAAAGAGAAAGGAAGGAAAGAAGGAAGAGAAAGAAAGAGAGAGAGAAAGGAAGAAAGGAAGAGAGGGAGGGAGGGAGGAAGGAGAGAGAGAAAGAAAAGGTTTGTAGTGAAATCCTATCCTCTATTTATTTTTTAAAGCATAGTAATCTATGTGTCTGTCATCTGTTTATTTTATTTTTTAAATCAAGTATGTATCTATCAATGTTGGTACAGGAAGAAAATAACAGTCTACAAAGATATATCTCAAACTGGGGAGTTGGACAAAGAAAAAAATATAAAATGAACTTTCTCTTAGTTCTCTTCTACAGTAGGAATTTTTCAAAAGGAACATTGTATTTTATAGCAATAAAAACAAAAAAGAAAGAAAATATAGATCTATAAACACCAACACAAGATGCCCATTGCATATTCCTAAGAAAAAGAAAGAAAGAAAAAAGCAAGTTGTAGATAACATACAACAGATAATTCATCTTTTGTAAGAACAGAAAAGGATGCCTCTGTACATGCACAGAAGTGTCCATATGCTTGCAAAGAAAGAGTGTGGATTAAAAAAAAAAAACTGTGCAAGGTGGTTGCCTCTGGAGACAGAAATTCCACTATGATGTGTGTGTGTGTGTGTGTGTGTGTGTGTGTGTGTTACTTTGCAGGAAAACACTTTATTGATTGATTGATTGATTGCCTCACTCTGTTGCCCAGGCTGGAGTGCGGTGGGGCAGTCTTGCCTCACTGCAACCTCTATCTCCTGGGCTCAAGCGATCCTCCCACTTTAGCCTCCCGGGTATGCACCACCTTGCCCTGCTAATTTTTGTATTTTTGTAGAGATGGAGTTTCACTATGTTGCCCAGGCTGGTCTACAACTCCTGAGCTCAAGCAATTCACCTGCGTTGGCCTCCCAATGTGCTGGAATTACAGGCACGCATCACCATCCAGTTGCCCAGTCAGAAAATATTTTAAACATCCCCTTTCCCCGTCATTGACCCCCAGGCAAAATGGGAAGTGTGAGTGGTTGACCGGCAAGACATGTCCCTGGGTTTCCAAGGTGGCTGGTGCACTTGAGGTAGGGAAAATGGAGAACTTACCACCCCAGTGAAAAACTCCAACCCAGTGAACTGGAGGGTGTTCTTTTCGGCCACGGTAAACTGAGGGATTATGATGAAGCTGAAGTTCAAGACGAATGAGAAAATGTTGAATTTCAAAAGCCATCTCAGAAAGTTGAAATAGGAGAGAACGCTGGTTCCAAACTTGCCTCCGATGATTTTCAGCGTCTTCTGCCACAGGCTGATGGAATTGAGAATTTCTGACAGGCTGCTCTTGGATCTCCGATAAGCCTGGAGCCAGGATTCAAAACAGGTGGCTTGCTGTTCACTCGACAGATATTGACTGAGCAGGTGCCATAATAACAGAAACGGCCACCATGTCTGGAGTATTGTTAAGTGCAGGCAACATGCTAGGCATGTTTACAAATGTTATCTCAACCCTAAGGTGGAGCTATTTTGACTTCCCAGGTTTGCTGTTGAAGGTGCCACTCCCAATGGCCGAGATGGCCAATGAACTCAGCAACCTCTTAGTTCTTCCCCACGCCACCTTTTCCCACACTTTAACCAACCTGATGGCTTCAGGCAATGAAATAGCTCTGATTTGGGGTCTTCACCTTGAGTCCCCTTTCATCCTCATTCCCCTCCCTGTTTTCACCCTCTTGCTGTGCCCATTTTACTGACTTACCTGTGAAATGGAGTGCAGACACTGAACACAGCAATTAAGCTGAAGGATATGATGGGACTGTTTGCTTTTTTCTTTGTCAACTATTTTCCTGTAGGGAATAGCAAGAGAAAGTGAAAGATACAAATGTTGTAACTCATTCATTCAAAAGATAGTTACATGGTGGCTCATGCCTGTAATCCCAACACTTTGGAAGCCTGAGGCAACAGGATCACTGAGGCCAGGAGTTCAAGACCAGCCTGAATAACATAGTGGGACCTTGTCTCTATTTAAAAAAAAAAACAAAAACAAAAAGCTGGGTGTGGTGGTGTCTGGCTATATAGTTCCAGCTACTCTAGAGGCTGTGGTGGGTGGATCACTTAGGCCCAAAAGTTTTGAGGCTGCAGTGAGCTATGATCACACCATTGTAGTCCAGCAGCCTGGGCAACAGAACAAGATCTCTTTTTTTTTTTTTTTTTTTTTGAGATGAAGTCCCACTCTATCACCCAGGGTGGAGTGCAGTGGCATAATCATGGCTCACTGCAGCCTCTGCCTCCCAGCTTCAAGCGATTCTCTGCCTCAGCCTCCTGAGTAGCTGGGATTATAATTGCACACAACCACACCTGGCAAACTTTTGTCTTTTTAGTAGAGACAGGATTTCACCATGTTGGCCAGTCTGGTCTTGAACTCCTGGCCTCAAGTGATCCATCTGCCTAAGCCTTCCAAAGTACTGGGAGAACAGGCATGAGCCACTGTGCCCAGCTGAGACCACATTTCTTAAAAAAAAAAAAAAAAAAAAAAAGTTATTGAGTTCCTATGATGTGTGGGGCACCATCCCAACTGTTAAGACAACAATTTCTTTGGTTTATGGAGCTGACATCCTAGTTGAAAGCGAAAGATAGTAAGCGATAAAAAAAAATAAGAAAGTGGATAAATGGTCTGATGGTTTTATAAAGGGCAGTTCCCCTGCACATGCTGTCTTGCCCACTGCCATGTAAGACATACCTCTGCTCTTCCTTCTTCTTCCGTCATTATCGTGAGGCTTCCCCTGCTGTGTGGAACTGAGTCCATTAAACCTCTTTCCTTTATAAATTACTCAGTCTCAGGTATGTCATTATTAGGAGTGTGAGAACAGAATAATACAGGTTCTCAACCCAGGGCGATTTTGCCCCCACACAGTTGGCCATGTCTGGAAACTTTTTTGGTTGTGGAACTAAACTTTTTTGGTTATGGAACTTCACTAAAGAGTGGAGAAGGGGTGCTACTGACATCAACTACACAGAGATCAGAGACACTGCTGTACGCCCTACGATGAACAAAACAGCTCCCATGACAGAGACAGATCTAGCCCTACGATGTTACTTGTACTGAGACTGAGATATCCTACTATAAGGTCTTTGGAACGCTTATTCAGTGACAGAGGGAGCCATGCAGAGTTTGAAATGCAAGAGTGTTTTCAGAAAGACACTGTCACAATTGGTCCCCTTACCCTTCCATGAACTCACCACGTTTGCTCTGTTCTGGTTCTCTCCTGGCTTTCTGTGGTCCACCTCGAAGGCCCACCCCAATGTCACTGTCTACTGCCTTTCAATGCCCCGCTCAAACGCCCCCTCTGTCCATTTTTCCCCAGAAAAGTTAGGGAGGGCAGACCTTTCTGGTCCTCATGTTGTAATCTCTTTCTATTTTGACTCGGCCTGATCTGCTTTCTGTCATTTGTAATGTACTTGTTGACAATTCTATTCCCTGCTGCCAGGCTTTGAAATTTATCTTTGAAACCTCAGAAGATCCTGCATCCTTGAGTCATTTACTGGTAATTACTGTTCCTTCCACTCTACTAGCTTCTGCCAACTAACTCAAATCGAAAAAAAAAAAAAAAAAAAAAAAGCAACAATTAATGTAAACTTTAAAGGCTAAAACAGCCCTTACCTTTGGGTTTTGAGTTCCTGAGCTTATAAAACTCCTAAGGTCTTTATTTTTTTTTTCTTTTATTTTTTTTGAGATGGAGTCTTGTTCTGTCACCCAGGCTGAAGTACAGTGGCACAATCTTGGCTCACTGAAACTTCTACCTCCCAGGTTCAAGCAATTCTCCTGTCTCAGCCTCCTGAGTAGCTGGGATTACAGGAGCATGCCACCATATCTAGGTAATTTTTGTATTTTTAGTAGAGACAGGGTTTCACCATGTTGGCCAGGCTGGTCTCGAACTCCTGACCTGTGATCCACCCACTTCAGCCTCCCAAAGTGCTGGGATTATAGGCGTGAGTCACTGCACCTGGTTGGTCTTTATTTTTTAAGTAAACTTTCTATATAGCGTAGTTTGAGATTTACAAAAGACAGTTTTTTTGTAAAGTTGCAAAGACAGTACAGAAAGTTTCCATATACCATTCACCAGGTTTCCCCTGTTAATATTTTACATTTCCATGTTAGGTTTGTCAAAACTAAGATACCAGTATTGATACATTACTATTACCTAAACTCCAAACTCTTCAAATTTTACTAGCTTTTACACCAGTGTCCATTTTCTATTTCAGGATCTCATCCAGGATGCCACATTGCATTTACTTGTCATGTCTCTCTTTTTTAATTTTCATTTTTTTTAAAAGATGGGGTCTCACTGTGATGTCCAAGATGGTCTCGAACTCCTGGGCTCAACTAATCCCACCACCTTGGCCTCTCAAAGTGTTGGGATCACAGGCATGAGCCACCACACTGGCCTGTCATGTCTCTCTTTTTTTTTTTTTTTTTTTTTGAGATGGCGTTTAACTCTTGTTACCTAGGCTGGAGTGCAATGGCGTGATCTCGGCTCACCGCAACCGCCGCCTCCTGGGTTTAGGCAATTCTCCTGCCTCAGCCTCCTGAGTAGCTGGGATTACAGGCACACGCCACCATGCCCAGCTAATTTTTTGTATTTTTAGTAGGGACGGGGTTTCACCATGTTGACCAGGATGGTCTCGATCTCTTGACCTCGTGATCCACCCGCCTCGGCCTCCCAAAGTGCTGGGATTACAGGCTTGATCCACCACGCCCGGCCTGTCACGTCTCTTTGGAACTTTCTAGTCTATGACAGTTTCTCAGACTTGCCCTGTTTTTGATGATTTTGACAGTTTTTTCTTTTTATTTTGTTTTTGAGATGGAGTTGTGCTCTGCCGCCCAGGTTGGAGTGCAGTGGTGCAATCTCAGCTCATTGCAACCTCCACCTTCTGGGTTCAAGTGATTCTTCTCCTTCAGCCTTCTTTTTTTTTTTTTTTTTTTTTTTTTTGAGACGGAGTTTCGCTCTTGTTACCCAGGCTGGAGTGCAATGGCGGGATCTCGGCTCACCACAACCTCCGCCTCCTGGGTTCAGGCAATTCTCCTGCCTCAGCCTCCTGAGTAGCTGGGATTACAGGCACGCGCCACCATGCCCAGCTAATTTTTTGTATTTTTAGTAGAGACGGGGTTTCACCGTGTTGACCAGGATGGTCTTGATCTCTCGACCTCGTGATCCACCCGCCTCAGCCTCCCAAAGTGCTGGGATTACAGGCTTGAGCCACCGCGCCCGGCTCCTCCTTCAGCCTTCTGAGTAGCTGGGACTACAGGCGCATGCCACCATGGCCAGCTAATTTTTTTTTTTTTTTTGTATTTTCAGTAGAGACAGGGTTTCACTTAGCCAGGATGGTCTTGATCTCCTGACCTCATGATGCGCCTGCCTCAGCTTCCCAAAGTGCTGGGATTACAGGTGTGAGCCACTGCACCCAGCAACTTCGACAGTTTCAAGGGGTACTGGTCGAGCATTTTGTAGAATGTCCTTCAGTTGGGATTTCCCTAATGTTTTTTGTTGTTTAGACTGGGATTGTGGGTTTTAGGACACAGCAGCACAGAGGAGACGTGTTTTTCCCATCACATGACCTATCTTTGGATATGTTAACCTTGAGTCTTGGCCAAGGCAGTATTAGGCAGACTCTCCCCTGGAAAGTGACTCCACTTTCTTTCTTCCATGCCCTACTCTTTGGAAGTAGCTCACCAAGCAGAGCTCACACTCCAGCCCAAGAGCAGGAATTAAGCTGTAGCTCCCGGAGAAATGGGTATCTACATAGAGTCTTTGAAATTTTTCTGTTAGGAGGATTTGTCTTTTCTATTGCACTTAATTATTTCTTATCTTTTTGAGATGGAGCAACAGTAGAAGATTGAGGTTCATGTGAAATCTGGGAAAGAAGAAAAGCCTTTGGTCCATACCTAAGGTTCCTTTTCTCTTCCATGGTCCTTGGCTGGTTCCTGATGGCTTTAATTCTGTCTCTGGATGTCATGGGTATGAGAGATGCAATTAACTTCTGTCCTATGGAAGAAATTAATGGAGTTTAATTTCTTTTTTCTTTGACAGAATCATAACACTAAAATGGGGTACTGAAGTCAGAGATGTTTTTATAAGAACACAAGGAAAGAAGAATATACGGACTTGGGGATCTCAAAGATCACAAAGGAAAACAACAAAAAGACACATAGATGTGTTAAAGCTCAAAGCCAGAGCAAATGAATGGTGACGGCACTCTATTCTAATTCAGTGTTTTTCTCTTTCCTGTAACAAAAATCATTTAGCAAAGTCAACAAGATCCTGCATATTTGGTCAGCCTATCTGTTTTTTTTTTTTTTTTTTTTTTTTTTTTTTGAGACAGAGTCTTCCTGTGTTACCCAGACTAGAGTGCAGTGGCACAATCACAGCTCACTGCAATGCTGATCTCCTGGGCTTAACCAATCCTCCCACTTCAGCCTCCCAAAGTGTTGTGATTACAGGCATGCACCACCGTGTCTGGCTAATTTTTTTATTTTTGTAAAGTTGAGGTCTCACTACATTTTCCAGGCTGGTCTTGAACTCCTGGGCTCAAGCAATCCTCTCACCTCAGCCTCCAGAGTAGCTGGGACTACATGTACATACCATGACAACCAGCTAATTTTTTTTTTTTGTAGAGATGGGGTCTTGCTATGTTGCCCAAGCTAGTTTCCAACTTCTGACCTCAAGAGATTCTCCCACCTCAGCCTCTCAAAGTGCTGGGATTACAGGTGTGAGCCACCATGCCTGGATCTCTTGCTTTAATATCCCACATCTTTTCCTTTTGCCTCTGATCCCAGATACAAGAGACTTCACATTCCTTGACTATTGTTGAATGCTCTTCCACCTCCCCAGAAGTACACCCTTCTTTTGTTCTGCTAACTCATATTCACATTTGCAGTCAATGTCGCAGACGCTATTGGTCATCCACCCCAAATTTATTTCCTTTTGTTAATGGAATCCCAATTGTGTTTAGGAATCTACCTGCCTCCCTTACATGGCCCTGAGCTTTCTCGAGGTGGAGCCCATCCCCAGGCCCAAAGAGCAAGTCTTAGTCTAAGTGAACCAATCCCCACGGCCCTGTCCCCTGCAGCAGAGGCATGTGACACAGCATTAACCAATGTCCTCTGAGAGGTGGTCTGCTGCTGAGAAATTTCTCAGAAAAGGTTTCTTCCTTCTAAACAAACAAAAACAAAACAAAACAAAACAGAAACAAGAAAAGAACAGATGTCTCTTCCTCTGATTATTGTGGTATCTGCATGTGATGCAAGAAATGTTGTTGCTATCCTGTGACAAACAAGCTAGCCAGTGGGGCAGTGACACCATGCTGAGGGTGGCTGAGGGACGGAGGGAGCAGACTGGCTCCGTGGTCACAGCATGGGGCTAGAACTGCCCACCAGGAAATACCATGGTCATTGTAATGACACAGTTGAGGTATAAGGGGAATCCCCAAAAGAGGACCACCAAATCTCTCTGCTGAAGATGAGCAATTTGTGCCTCTCCTGGGAAGGAAGGGTGAGTAGACTGAGGGGAAGAAAGATGGAAGAGGGAAATATACAGGGCTGCAGGGAGCCGGCAGTGTGAGAGGTGATGCCCTATCTTCACTAAAGGGGCTAAACCCACTAAATGCTTTGTGTAAGAAAAAGGATGTTTTTCTTCTTCCTGAAATCATTGAAAGCCGCTAGGCTTTATGCCTGGAATACTGTGGGGGTAAAACAGAAGGAGCATCTCTGGGCCAGGCACGGTGGCTCACAACTGTAATCCCAGCACTTTGGGAGGCTGAGGTGGGTGTATCACCTGAGGTCGGGAGTTTGAAACCAGCCTGATCAACATGGAGAAACGCTGTCTCTACTAAAAATACAAAATTAGCTGGATGTGGTGGCTCACGTCTGTAATCCCAGCTACTGAGGAGGCTGAGGCAGGATAATTGCTTGAACCCGGGAGGCATAGGTTGCAGTGAGCCAAGATCGAGCCTTTGCACTCCAGCCTGGATGACAGATTGAAACTCCATCTAAAAAAAAACAAAAACAAAAGCAAAAAAAAAGAATGCAGGCTTGAGGCCAGAGGCCAGGCGTGGTGGCTCACACCTTCTGTTATCCATCCCAGTACTTTGGGAAGCCAAGGTGGGCAGATCACCTGAGGCCAGGAGTTTGAGACAAGCTTGGCCAACACGGTAAAACCCCATCTTCACTAAAAATACAAAAATTAGCAGGGCATGGTGGCATGTGCCTATAATCTCAGCTACTCCACAGGCTGGGGGCATGAGAATCGCTTAAACCTGGGAAGCAGAGGTTGCAATGAGCCGAGATTGCGCCACTCACACTCCAGCGAAGTGACAGCAAGACTTTGTCTCAAAAAAAAAAAAAAAAAAAAAAAAAAGGAGTCGTCTTGGGAATTAGATAGACCTGTATTTGGGCCCCAGATCTTCCAGGTCACTAAATTTATCTGAGCTTCAGTTTTCTCATCAAGCACATGGAATCGCCTGCCTCCAAAGTGTGGAGTGCAGGGGATACATAAAACCCAACTCGATAGGTAACAAAAAGCAGGTGCTGTGCGGAGCACAAGTCATATGAAATAAGTTTGATCAAAGTAAGTGCTGTTAGGGATGTCTTAAAGTGATCCCTGCCTTTGTCCTTCGCATCCTTCGTTTACCCACAAACACTTTCACTCCTCCATATTACTTGTCTTTTTTTTTTTTTTTTTTTTAAAGAGACAGGCTCTTACTCTGTCACCCAGGCTGGGTTTCAGTGGTGCCATCAGAGCTCACTGCAGCCTCCAACTCCTGGGCTCAAGCAATCCTCCCACCTCAGCCTCCTGAGTAGCTGGGACCACAGGTAAGCGCCATCATGCCTGGTTATTATTTTTAAATTTTTTTTATAGCAATGGAGTCTCCCTATGTTGCTTAGGCTAGTCTCAAACTCCTGGGCTCAAGTGATCTTCCTACCTTGGCCTCCCAAAGAAGTAGGATTACAGGTGTGAGCCACCACGCCTGGACCCACTTGATATCTTAAAAGTAAAATATGCTGTGGACACGTGGAAGCTCTCTTTCCTACTGCTCTAACTCCTCTTCCCCAACATTTCACTACCTTGAAGAGTTTCATGTGAAGAACCTGGAGTGTCTATGCCCATGCATTCTAGGCTATGAAGGGTCTGAGACCTCGATTCATTCAAAGGTGTTGAAAACCGCAGCACCCGGTTGCCCTTTCGGTCATTCCTTTTGCTGACTGTCTGGGAGTCTGTCACATCGATGTCAGATATTGATGAAACCATGTTGATGCTTGTATCTAGCAGCACCTTTTCCTGAAAAACCTGATTTAAGGATGGGTGGCTTTGGACCCCAGCGGAAACATTCTCAACCTCTATGACGATTTCATTCACGTGGTCATCGGACAGCATCTCCTGCCTCCCGCAAGCCGCCTTCTCCACTGGGGTGGGCTTCCTGAGACTTCATCCAGCAGTCACACCGGCATTGACTGGGACTCGCAGGGAAAAAGTGATGATGACCACAAAGGGATACAACATTCACATTTTTTAAAATGCCAGGATGAGCTCACCAAAGCCAGCCCTGCATAAATCACAACATAACTCCCTGCATCTAAGCCCAGAGGCGTTTTCTCAAGAGGAGGAGTGTTTTCCTGCAGAGAATTCTGTCTTGGTAGCTAGGCAAGAAATCTAAAACAGAATCTTTCATTTGAGACAACGGGATTCTAGAAACAGAAGGAAGATATTTTTCTAAACGACTCATAGTCAAAAGGGCAAGATTTTTTTTTTTTTTAAATTTAGTGCCTCTGGCTTAGAACTTATATTTTATAATTTTATATGCCTGTAGAAATCCACATAGGTTTACAGAGATGCAATTATTATCTCCTGATGCCTTAGGTGGTGGACTCTGCTATTTGTCTGCCTCTCAGTGTCCATTTTCCTTTTTTCTCATAACCAGCAAAAGCTCATTTCCCATGCAGATGCAGTGCTCAAAGTCTCCCAGCATTCTCTGCGGCTGAGGGAGGACCTGTGACCCAGTTTTAGCCAACGAGACTGTGGCTTCCAGGAATGCTCTTTCAAAGGGGACAGTTTGCCTGGGTTCACAATTTGCCCGTCACCAGTCCTCCTCCAGACATTTAGAAAACAAGAGAACGAACGTTCACTTGCTAAGGATGGTAAAGTAAAAGGCTGCAGAAGGCTCTTCAGTCCTGGAGGGCATCATGCATGGAGCTGCTGTACAAACTGTGCACTTCCTTCATCCACGCTTTTTTTTTTTTTAATTTTCATTTATTTATTTAAAGACAGAGTCTTTCTCTATTGCCCAGGCTGGAGTGCAGTGGCATGATCTCAGCTCACTGTAGCCTCTGCCGCCTTGGTTCAGGCAATTTTCCTGCCTCAGCAAATTATTGTATTTTTTACAGAGATGACGTTTCACCATATTGGCCAGGCTGGTCTCAAACTCCTGACCTGAAGTGATTCTCCTGCCTCAGCCTCCCAAAGTGCTGGGATTACAGGCATGAGCCACCTCACGTTAAAAAAAAAAAAAAAAAAGTACAAAATTTAAAACTTTTTTTTTTTTTTTTTTTAAGAGATGAGGTCTTGCTCTGTCACCCTGTCACCCAGGCTGGAATGCAATGGCGTGATCATAACACACTGCAGCCTTGATCTCCTGAGTTCAAGCAATCCTCCTGCTTCAGCCTCCTGAATAGCTGGGACCACAGGGGAACCACCATGCCTCCTGGGTACAAGTGATTCTCAGCTGGGCCTCCCAAGTAGCTGGGGTTATAGGCATGTACCACCATCCCTGGCTAATTTTTGTATTTTTAGTAGAGAGAGAGTTTCGCCATGTTGGCCAGTCTGGTCTGAAACTCCTGACCTCAAATGATCTGCCCAGCTAGGCCTCCCAAAGTGCTGGGATTATAGGCATAAGCCATCATGCTCAGCCAATTTTTCTATTTTTCATAGAGATGGGGTTTCATCACGTTGCTCAGCCTGGTCTCAAACCTCTGAACTCAAGTGATCTGCCCACCTCAGCCTCCAAAAGTCCTGGAATTACAGGTGTGAGCCACCGCGCCCAGCCTGGGCTATGATTTAGTTGTATGTGGTTTGTGAATCAGATTCAACACAAAGAAAAAATGATGAAGACAGCCAGGTTCATCTTTTGGTCCTCTATTTCTTTACTACTCTCTGCCTTTTGGGGACTCTTCTTCTACTAGGGTTCCTGTGATATTATTATTATTATTATTATAGATAGGTGTATATATATTTATATATTTTATTTTTTTCCCACCCATGGTTTCTGGCTCATAACTCCCAAAGCCCTTGTCATAATGTTAGGATTTTAAGCCTCAGAAAACACAATTTTTCTCCCTGACCTCTTGCCTCTTTTCACTTGCTCTTTTTTCTCCCCAAGGCAGGACCCCAGTCTTCCCCTACCTTCCTGTCTTGGAGTTGGCCATAAAGAAATTTTCCCTCATTTCAGAAGGGGTCCTGCCCCAAACCCTGGAGCGGGGAATGCTACACAGAGAACCCAAGAAGGATCTGAACAGACAGGCCTTGTTGGCTTTCCCCAGTAATCTATTAGTATGAGATCATACACTTTTTGTCCAATCACATTTTTTTTTTAATGTAGTCTTGCTCTGTCGCCCAGGCTGGAGTGTAGTGGCATGATCTTGGCTCACTACAACCTCTACCCCGAGTTCAAGCGATTCTCCTGCCTCAGCCTCCCAAATAGCTGGGACTATAGGCACTTGCCACCATGTCCAGCTAACATTTGTATTTTTAGTAGAGATGGGGTTTCAACATGTTGGCCAGGCTGGTCTTGAACTCCTGATCTCAGGTGATCCGACTGCCTTGGTCTCCTAAAGTGCTGGGATTACAGGTGTGAGCCCCCGCTCCGGGCTGTTTAATCACATTTCTGCACGGTTGTCAACCATGCCTATGTAACAAAGTCTCTCCACAAAAGGCCCAAGAGGACTGGGTTCAGGGAGTTTTCTGATAGCTGAACATGGGGAGGTTCCTGGAGGGTGGCTCAAAAAAATAATAGGGCATGAAAGCTCTGTGCCCTTTCCCATTTACTTCACCCTATGCATCTCTTCATCTGTGTCCCTTATAATATTCTTTGTAATAAATCAGTAAACATAAGTGTTTCCCAGGGTTTTGTGAGCTGCTCCAGCAAATTAACCAAACCCAAGGAGGAGGGCATGGGAAGCCAACTTGAAGCTGGTTGGTCAGAAGTTCTGGGGCCGGGCATGGTGGCTCAGGCCTATAGTCCCAGCACTTTGGAAAGCCAAGGTGGGCAAGTCACTTGAGGTCAAAAGTTTGAGATCAGCCTGGCCAACATGGTGAAACCCCATCTCTACTAAAAAATACAAAAATTAGCGGGGCATGTCGGTGCATGCCTGTAATCCTAGCTACACAGGAGGCTGAGGCACAAGAATCGATTGAACCTGGGATGCAGAGGTTGCAGTGAGCTGAGATGGTGCTGCTGTGCTCCAGCATGGGTAACCAAGTGAGACTCTGTCTCAAAAATATTAATCATCATAAGAGGAAGAAATTCTAGCGGCCTGGACTTGTGGCTGGTATCTGAAGGTAGTATAGTCTTGGGAACTGCACCTTTGTCGTGTGGGATCTGACACTATCTCCAGGTAGACAGTGTCAGAATTAAATTGGAGGACAGCCAGCAATGTTTGCTGTAAAGCTGATTACTTTCTTCGTGTGTGGGAGAAACCTCCACCCATTTTTTCACAGAAGCCTTCTGTGTTGATGGTTGTGGAATGAGAGAACAGAAAACACACTTTGACTGTTTTTATCTGTACAGTCTTCTAACTTCATGCTGGCTAGACAGAGCAGTCATGAAGTTCAAAGGCATTTCTTCTCCCTGATAATTAAAGCCATTCTCGGGGACCAAATCTCTGCCCTGGTGGGGACCAAATAAAGAGTGTGATCATTTATATCTTGATGGTTTTCCCTTCCAAGTAGCGATATCTAACGGTCCCTGAAAAGGCATACATCTCTTGAAGGAGGAGGCTAATGATTATCTTATAGGCAATGGGGCTGAAAAGCGAGAGTTCTAAGTGGCTTCTCTCCGCATGCATCATTATGTAGATGACCTCATTAATTTATTCCTGTTGCTCACAGATCTGCCTTTTGGCTCCAGCATTCCCTAGTCTCTCTCCTCTGTTGCTTTTTTGTTTTTGTTGTTTGTTTTTGAGACAGGGTCTTGCTCTGTCACCTAGGCTAGATCACAGCCCACTGCAGCCTCAGCCTCCCAGGCTCAAGCAATCCTCCCGCCTCAGTCTCCCAAAGTGTTGAGATTACAGGTATAACCACTATGCCTGGCTTATTGCTTCCTTTTCATTTGTCGGTCTCTGCCTCTGATCCAACCTTCATCACCACACACAGTGATCCTTAGACAGCTTCTTAACTGATTGCAGCACCTTCCATCTTTCACCAGTCGGATTGCTTCCATGCTCCACCATAATAATTACGTGAATACTCAAAAAAATTTTGATCAATGCATCACCCCACCAACACAGACATTAGCCACAGGATAGACAGGTGACCCAGTCTTGTCCCCTATGGTAAAAATGATTGTTCCAAGTGTGGGCATGTGCTCCAGTTAGACTGGGCAGAGTCCTTTCCCTGCATTGGAGAAGGATCCAGGGAGGAAGTAAGACTTCCTAATGAGGTGGCTAAGCAGAGGGCTCATATGGGCCTGCTATTGGCTATGTTCTCTGGCCTGTGGACCAGGCCTGACTCTGATGGAGATGAATGAGGTCTAACCTAAAGAGGAGCTGAGGACCAGGAGTTGAGGACCCAGGACACACCTATACATATAGAACTGAAAAGCAAGTTTTACAAAGATGAAAAATGGATGGAAAACCAGAGTCCCAATGACACTGAGTTTCCTGAGTTCCCTGATAAAAAATCAGGATTGAGGTTCTGATTTCTGTACTCATTCAACAAGTTAATCTAACAAATATCCCTAAAATACCTACTATGTTCCAGGTACTGTAATAGGTGCTGGAAGGTATTAATATTTCTACTTTCAATTCTTTAAGTTTCCCCCATATGCTTTTACCACATGAGCCAATTAATTCCCCTTGGGCTAATGCCTGTTTGAGTTGGGTTTCTGTCACTTGCAAACAGAAGATGCCTAATAAAGATACCCCAATCCTCAGAAGACAACAAACTATATGTCTAAAAGAAAACTCCATTATGATACGTTAAACAGGTTCTGCATTAGTAACCACAGCGGAGGCCAAGAGGAAGTGGCAATGGCTGGATTGTCTTGGACAACGATCCTTCTCCAGGGTTGACTTTTTGGTCACTGTCCTTTAAGCCTTACTGTATTAGTCTGTTTTCACACTGCTACAAAAATACTGCTTGAGACTGGCTAATTTATAGACAACAGAGGTTTAATTGACTCACAGTTCCTCATGGCTGGAGGGGTTCTAAGGAAACTTACAGACATGGTGGAAGGTAAAGGGGAAAGGTACGTCTCACGTGGCAGCAGGAGAGGGCGAGCGCAGGGGAAGCTGCCACTTTTAAACCAACAGATCTCGAGGGAACTCCCTTACTATCATGAGAACAGCATGGGAGAAACCACCTCCATGATCTAATAATCCCCCACCAGGTCTCTCCTTCAGCCCGTGGGGATTACAATTCGAAATGAGATTTGGGTGAGACACAGAGCCAAACCATAGCACTTACCTTGGGGTGACTTGTGCCAGTCACATTCAGACAATGGTGGGTTTCCATAAGCACGGACAGGACCACTTTCATCTACATAAGCAGGGTTCACTGAAGGGGAGAGGAAGGAGATATTGCCAATCAGTCTCATCGCACTAGACATTACTGGCATGTGATAGCTATGATGCGCTAATAATGGTTAGCCACTGTTAATAAGACCAAGACCTGGTCTTTGAGGTTCTAACAGACTGCTGATTAAGAACCTGGGTGGCAAATAGGACAAAAATACAAAGACAATGCTGTAAAACATAATCAGCCTATATCAATGGTTTTCATTTGACTGAGCCATATTTAAGAATAATTGTTGGCAAGACGAAGTAGCTCACGCCTGTAATCCCAGTGCTTTGGGGAGCCAAGGTAGGAGGATTACTAGAGCCCAAAAGTTTGAGACCGGCCTGGGCAACATAATGAGACCCTGTTTCTATTAAAAAAAAAATTATATATATATACACACACACATATATGTATATATATTTATATATATGTGTATATAAATATATATGTATCTTATTTATATTATCATATATACATATATACATATATATGTATATGATATAAAATATATACTATATATAATAAATATATATATTATATATGTATATATGATATAAAATAAAAAATATATTTTCTATCCTATATTTTATACATTTTTTGTATTTTAATATATTTATATTGTTACATATAATATAAAAATACATATATTAAAATATAAAATATAACATAATTGTATCTTTATTTATATATAAAATATATAATATAAAAATAAAACTACATTAAATATGTATATAAATATATATTTTAAGACAGGTTCTCACTCTGTAACCTAGGCTGGAGTGCAGTGGTGTGACTTCAATTCACTGCAGCTTTGACCTCCCCGGCTCAAGCAATCCTCCCACCTCAGCCTCCTGAGTAGCTGGGACTACAACCATCCATCACCATACCCGGCTAATATTTTGTGTTTTTTGTAGAGATGGGGTTTCACTATGTTGCCCAGGATGGTCTTGAAGTTCTGGGCTCAAACAATCTGCCAGCCTTGGTCTCTCAAAGTGTTGGGATTACAGGCGTGAGCCACGGAGCCCAGCAAAAAAAAAAAAAGTGTGTGTATATAAATAATGGTGCACTGAGATCCAGGACACACCTATATATACAGAACTGAAAAGTAAGTTTTACAAAATTATACTTTGACTACATAAACTGTACTCTAACATAGCCTTACTCTAGTCTACTCTTTTTTCTTTTTTTTTGAGACTTGCTGTGTCACCCAGGCTGGAGCGCAGTGGCACAATCTCAGCTCACTGCAACCCCTGCCTCCCAGGTTCAAGTGATTCTCCAGCCTCAGCCTCCCAAGTAGTTGGACTGCAGGCATGTGCCACCATGTCTGGCTAATTTTTGTATTTTTAGTAGAGACAGGGTTTTACCATGTTGGCCAGGTTGGTCTTGAACTGCTGACCTCAGGTAATCTGCCTGCCTCAGCCTCCCAAAGTGCTGGGATTACAGGCATGAACCACCACACCCGGCCTAGTCCACTCTTTTCTATTTCATTTTTAAAAATCCATTTCACTATTTGTAATAAGTTATAACTGAGAATCCGAAAAAATACTTGTCTGTGTGTACAAAGTTTCCTTCCAGCTCTAGCATTTTATGACACATGAATAAATTTGAAATAGGGCGTGATTTCCTTAGGGACGGAGTTCATCCTAGCATCTGAAGGCTGCAGTGAGCTGAGATTGCACCACTGCACTCCAGCCTGGGTGACAGAGTGGGAGGTTTGTCTTGAAAATAAATAAATAATAGGACCTTCACATAGGCTTATTGGGGGAGTTGAATCAGTGAATACATGTAAAGTAATTAAATAATCCTAGACCAAGTAAACTCTAGTATCTATTAACTGTCATAGATTGTTATTCAGCAAATATTACACTCCCGCTACCTTCTCCACCTTCATCGATATTGGGCTTAATTATGTGACTTGATTTTAACAATGGAATGCAGCAGAAGTAACAGCGTGCCAGTTCCAAGCCAAGGCTTTTAAACTGTGTGTTTCTGCTTGCCACTTTGATCACTTTTAGCTTATGCCATGGGAAGATGTTGGCCTAGGTTGCTCACTGATCCAAGAAGAAGGATGCTAGAACTAAATAGAACCCATGACCTAGAGTCAAGCACAACAACCTCAGCCTAGTTCAGCCACACCCCAATCCCAACCTTGCAGATGCATAAGAAATAAATGCTTGTTTATTGTACAATTCTAGGTTTTTGGAGTTGTTTGTTATGCAGCATTCCTGTGGCAATAGCTAGCTGATACAATTGTTGTTGTTGTTGCTATTAAGTTAGTTAGCATTTTTCAAACACCTACTGTGGGCCAGGCACTGTGACACTAGAAAGAGCACCTGGAGCCTTGGAGGGTGCACAGATGAATACAGGTTCTCCTTAAGGAGTGAACATTTTATCAGGATGGGGTGACACTGGACAATTGATTGCCAAGGGCTGCAAACTTTGTCCTACAAAGGATCCCAGAGAAGGAAGCTACACTGATCTTTTTTTTTTTTTTAAGCATTTTAACTTCCAACGTTCTATAAAGCTTGGTGGTCAGGAATCTGTTTGTGCTTGCCCTGATTCAACCCATCAGTAATGCAGGGTAAATAAGACGTCAGGCTCTGGGTAGAGAGAAGGGATTCGATCCTGGCTCTGTCAATTTAGTAAGTGAGTGACTTTGTGCCTGTTTCTTTCTGAGCCTTAGTTTTCCCATCTGTTAAAACAGGAAGAGTGGCAGTCCCTGCTTGAAAGGTTGTACAGATTAAACGAGATAGTAAAAGTCAAGTGCTGGACAGAGACTCCAGGGCATAAGAAACACTCAAGACTTGCTTGCAATTATAGTTCCACTTAACTGGAGTTAGGGCAGTGTATCTTAATCTTGTTTCATTATCAGCCCCCTAAGCAGGGGAGACATTTTTTCCTTATTGCCGACCTCTAAGAAGTTTTAATACCAAAGATACACTGTATATCTGTTTGCATACTATATGTATATCTGTGCTTTATATATCGAAAGAGTGAGATTGTTTTTCTGGCCTTTCAAGAGCAAACTTTCCCGCCTTGGGATTTCTATTGCCCCTAGGGAGGAATGCACAGAATAAAGGTTTGGAATAGCCCTGAGCTGAACAAGTGATATCTCTGCTCTCAAAGGACTATTTCTTTGCTTTCTTCTTCTTCTTTTTTTTTTTTTTTCTTCAAGACAGAGTCTTGTTCTGTCACCCAGGCTGGAGGGCAGTGGCACGATCTTGGCTCACTGCAACCTCTGCCTCCTGAGTTCTTGCGATTCTCCTGCCTCAGACTTCCAAGTAGCTGGGATAACAGGCACCTGCCACCATGCCTGGCTACTTTTTGTATTTTTAGTAAAGATGGGGTTTCACTATATTGGCCAGGCTGGTCTCAAACTCCCGACCTCGTGATCTGCCTGCCTAGGCCTCCCAAAGCCCTGGGATTACAGATGTGAGCCACCATGCCCTACCTTCCCTTCCCTTCCTTTCCCTTCCCTTCCCTCTTTTCTTTCCTTCCTTCCTTCCTCCCTCCCTCCCTCCTTCTTTTTCTTTCTTTTTTTTTTTTTTTTTTTTTTTTTTTGAGACAGGTCTCACTTTGTCACTGAGGCTGGAGTGCAGTGGTACAAGCATGGCTCGCTGCAGCCTCAACCTCCCAGACTCAAGCGATCCTCCTCTGTCAGTCTCCCAACTAGCTGGGACCCCAGGTGTGCCACCATGCCCAGCTAATTTTTAAAATTAGACCCAGATTGAAAATGTTCTACATGTTAACAGTCAGTGTTTTCATTAGCACAGGGCTATGCGTCCTGTCCCCTCCTCTCTGCCTTCTTCCAAACCTTCCCCACCTCCTCCTAAAGGCTTATCAATCCTCCGGGTCGGCACCTCCCAGCACTTGGGTCTCTTGTTCTCTTCTTATTAGCTGAACACTTCCTCCCTTTTCTGACCTCCTCAGGCTCCAAATTCCTTTAATATTGCCTGGATTTTTTTCTCTTATGCCATTAAATGGCTTCCTGGAACAAGTCTTTTTTAACTCCTGAAAGTAAGAACTGTTCAGAATTTGCCCAGGCTCAAGCCTGTAATCCCGGCACTTTGGGAGGCCAGTGCTGGAGGATTGCTTAAAGCCAGGAGTTCAAGACAAGCCTGGGCAACATAGCAAGACCCCATCTTTGTCAGGCATAAAAAAAATGTGCCAGGCATGATGGCATGCATCTGCAGTCCCAGCTACTGGGGAGGCGGAGGTGGGAGGATTTCTTGAGCCTAGGAGTTTGAGGCTGCAGTGAGCTGTGATCAGCCTGGGTGACACAGCAAGATCCTGTCTCAAAAAAACAAACAAACAAACAAACAAAAAAACTGATCAGAAGTTCCTTTGCCTCCTGGAGCTAAGCATCTTACCTATACACACAACAAATGATGAGGACAACATGATTTTTCAAATATTAATAGTTTGATTGATAATTTTGTTTAGTCTCTTTTTTTTTTTTTTTTTTTGAAACAGAGTCTCACTCTTGCCCAGCCTGGAGTGCAGTGGTGAGATCTTGGCTCACCGCAATCTCTGCCTCTTGGATTCAAGTGATTCTTCTGCCTCAGCCTCCCGGGTAGCTGAGATTACAGGTACCTGCCACTGTGCCTGGCTAATTTTTTGTATTTTTAGTAGATACAGGGATTCATCATGTTGACCAGGCTGGTCTCCTACTCCTGACCTCAGGTGATCCACCTGCTTCAGCCTCCCAAAGTGCTGAGATTACAGGTGTGAGCCACCACACCCGGCCTTTTCTTTCTTAATGTGCCACTTTCATTGACCTATTTAGGCTTTAAATAACATTAACTCCCTTTTCCCCCCCGGTAGGTTTTGAACATGTAAGTGCTGATTGTTTCAATGCCTATAGGATATGCTAAACTATAGGTGGCCACTGGCAGCTCACAAAAAAATGTGATTTCGTTTGCCCACCTCAGTGTTTTTACTTTTAAAAATGATTTTGGAATACATCAACATCAGGTTTCACATAAAACCCCAAATATATGGCTTCTGCTGAAAAATATGAGGATCTTGCCACACTGATCCCACCTTGCCACATAACCACTGTGGACTGAACTTCACCACCTCCGGGAGGCACAGGGTGCACGGGTTCCCATTTCCCACAACACTTACCTGACTTTTATAATTGAAGACAATTAGCTTGGTGTCTCTAAACACTGAATTCTCAACTCTTGTATGTAAAAAACAAAAAAACCAAATGGTCTATGAGATTGGAAGGATACATCAATTCTATTGCCAAGCCTTCTTAATGACTACACCCCTCAATCCACTGATTTTATTTTCTTCCAAGGATATAATCCTGGCTTAATAAATGCTTACCATAGCCATCTCCAGGAACACCTGGCAGAGAGTGCCTATATGAGTTTGCTAGGTCCATGGATGCCATTTCAATCCTTTCAGGGTAATCTTCATTCTCTCCCCAAAGGTTGCCATCACTCCTGTGATGAAATGAGGGCTGGATTGAAGATGTTCTGCTGAGCACCCTAAAATCCCAAAATGATGGATCACTATCCAACCAGGAGTATAGTAAGGATTGTCATGCATGTATCCATCCATCCAGCCATCTATTTATCCATGTATCCATCCATTTGATCATGTATTCATCCATCCATTTATCCATCCATCCATCCATCCATTCTTCCATTTACCCATTCATCCACGCATTGATTCATCCATTTATCCATCTATCCATCCACTCATCCATCCAACCATACATACATTTATCCATCCATCCATCTATCCATGTATCTATCCATTCATTAATGTATCCATTCATCTATCCATCTATTCCATTCCATTCCATTTCACAAATGCAGACTAAGCGCCAATGCTGAGTTAGGGATGGGCCAGGAAGTGAGGATACCAAGAGGAAAACATGGGGTATCTGCCCTCAAGAAGCTCCCAGTACAAGTTGGTACTGCTTCTTAGAAACAGCTATGAGCAATTATACTACAAGTAGAAACTGGTGAGTATCCAAAGACAGGCCCAAGGAGTTGAGAGGAAAGAATTGACCTATTTAGGCCAACTAAAGAGAGTTTTGGGAGAAATCTACATGGAAAGCTACAAGTGAATAGAGATTGAAAGGATACATAGCGGGAGGGCATTCCAAGGATGAAGAACAGTATAAAAAAAGGTGTGAGGCCAGAAAGCTCCGAATATATAAAGGAAATGCTATGAAAATCAATTAATAATTAATGATTCTTAATTTAATACATATACCAATTCCCAAGCTTCATCCCAGACAATTAAGTCAGAAGCTCTGAAGGTTGGGCCCAGGCATCTGTATTATTTTTAAAGTTCCTCAGATAACTGGGTAACTCTAAGGACCAGCCAAAGTCAAGAACCACTGACCTAGAGTACAGGGTCAAGGCGGGGGACAGACAGGAGACATAAGAGGAGATGAGTCAGGCTGGTCTTTGGCTGGCATCTTACATTAACATGATGTATCCTTATTCATAAATGTTCTGTAAGTGAAGTTGGGAGACCTTTCTCCCAAAGGCTATGGGGACCCATGGAAGATCAAAAGCAAAATAGTGACAGGATCAAAGGTAGGCTTTGGAATGATGAATCAGGCATTGGATAATAAGAACAAGATGGACATTTTCACCTAGTCCTGTTAACCCTACTATTTGGGTTCTAAAGACATCGTGACTGCTGCACACTCAAATCCTATATCCTTGTTCCTAAAGATAAATACGAGCCACCAGTTTTTTAAAATTAAATTTATAAATATTACTAGTAGAAACAGTAAATGCAAAATCAGACTCATATTGGTTAAAACTTCACATGGTAAACATTGTTATTGATAAAACCACAAACTGACTTTAAAAGATCACATCCTAGACTGGGCACAGTGGCTCATGTCTGTAATCCCCAGCACTTTGGGAGGCCAAGGCAGGTAGATGATTTGAGGTCAGGAGTTCAAGATCAGCCTGGCCAACATAATGAAACCCTGTCTCTACTAAAAATACAAACACTAGCTGGGCATGGTGTTGCATGCCTGTAATCCCAGCTACTTGGGAGGCTGAGGCAGAAGAATCACTTTGAACCCGAGACACGGAAGTTGTAGTGAGCCAAGATTGTGCCACTGCACTCCAGCCTGGGCTACAAAGCAAGACTCTGTCTCAAAATAAAATAAAATAAAATAAAATAACATTTTTCTAGCAACATGAACATGAAAAAATTTAACCCAGGAAAAATTAGATTTGGTAGAATTAAGTCACCCAAACTAATGCTGTCAGCGGTAAAATTTGTCAAGGAACAAAATTTGACAGAAGATCAAAATCTTTTAGACAAAATTTAGATCTACAGACTCTAAACCTGGAAAAACTGGACTTGCTATTTAAAAACAGCCTTAAAGGAATACTGAAAATGATGAAAACTATAAATGATAAAATTTGATTAAAATAGTGCAGATAATTGGTGAATCAAATCTGCAGTAAATTTTTGGTGAAAAATCGTCAATTCTGACAATTTCAGTGAAATAGAAATAAAAGTATAAAAATCAAAGTGATAAAAACATGGCTGGGCATGGTAGCTCATGACTGTAATCCTAGCAGTTCGGAGCTCAGGAGTTTAAGACCAGCCTGGGCAACATGGCAAAACACCGTCTCTACAAAAAACGCAAAATTAGCTGGGCATAATAGGTGCACACCTGTAGTCCCAGCTACTTGGGTGGCTGAGGTGGGAGGATCAATTGAGCCCAGGAGGTTGAGGCTGCCGTGAGCTATGATTGTGCCACTGCACTCCAGCCTGGGTGACACAGCAAGATCCTGTCTCAAAAAAAATTAAATAATAAACAAACAATAACAAAGAAACCCAAAGAAGTGGCACAATATCTTATAAAAAAACTAACTTAATGGAATTAGATCTCCAAAAGATTTTCTGGATAATAATTCATTACTGTTGATGTAATTCTGATTAAAGTGTTTGGATTTATGAGTGTCAAGCCTTAACCCTAACCCTTTTGGCAATGTAGCAGGGTCAAAACAGCGTGGATCCAGATGTCTTACAGGGATCAAATTAGGAAGAGGTGGGATAATGGGAAGGTGATCCAAGCAAGAAGTGGTGGAAGATTAAGTTCAGGTAAGGGCTTGAAGCCTCAAATTGCGAGTCCATGAGTCAGGTGAGGTCTACAGGTAGATATGCGAGTTTCACCACAACTTCAGGTCATGGAACCCATCATATATAACCATAATCTAAACCACACACTAAATTCCATTGACTTGATGATCCAGCACTCAGCCTCCATTCCCAATGAAGGGATATATACCAGAACTTACCCCCTGGTCATCTTTGGGGTCTCAGAAGAGCCATAATCATAACCATTCTCATCATCTGAATAATCAGGTTCTCCCCAAGAGCTTGATGAGTTCTGATTGTCCTCAGTTCTGGGATAATCTGGCTCCCCCAAAAAGGGTGGAGAGTTAGGTTGAATCTCAGCGCCCGGATAATCAGGCTCTCCCAGAGAATCTGTATACGGATTGATTCTGAAACCTGTATGTTTTAGATTCCTTCTGGATCCTGGATGGTTCAAGTTGGCTCTGGGTCCAGGATGATCAGAGTTGCTTTGAGCTCCAGGGTAGTCCGGTTCTCCTAAGGAGCCAAAATAATCTGGATGTGTTCTGGAGCCTGCATAGTTTCCACTGCTGCTGGAGCCTACAAAATCAGGATTTCGTTGAGATCCAGGGTAGTCTGGCTGTCTGGATGATGGTTGGTGGTACGGATGACTCTGAAATTCACTATAATCTGGCTCTGGTAGAGAGAGAGGATTATCTGGGCTTGTTCTAGAGGCTGAAGGGTATGCATCACTTCTGGTATCAGAATAGTCTGGATTACTCAGAGATCCAGGATAATTTGGTTCCGCCAGAGACCCAGCATAATCTGGACGTGCTCTGGAGTCTACAGAGTATGGATTGTTCCTGGTGCCGGGGTTGTGTGGATTGTTCGGAGGACCCAGAGTTTTCAAATACCCTTGTGTACGGTTCGGAGACCTTGAATAGTCCAGGTAATCTGGGTCTTCCTCAAACCCGTTATTCCTGTAGTAGGCAGACATGTTGGTACGGACTCTTCACCCTGGAGTGGTAAACTGTCCCAGCATTTGCAATTACTCAGGGATCTTTTTTTTTTTCACCTGAAAAACAAGAAGAAAAGGAAAAGTTAGATGTTTTTTCCCTTTCTTCCCTGCAGAGATGGCTGGTTACCTTCCAGTATCTGCTCTCCTTTCATTCAGAGTGGAGTATACAACTGCCTAGAATAAAAGTTATGTTTCTAGCTTCTCTTGCACCAAGGTATGAACGTGAGGGTGGTCAATGGGATGAGAACAGCAGTGATACATACAACTTCCAGGCTGAGCTGTTAGAGGGAAGAAGTTATTCCCCACTTTCTCCATCTTGCTTCCTGTGGGCTGGAATGTGGAAATGACGGTGCACCATCATGGGTCATGCACACGAAGCCGAGACCTGCATTCGGAATAAACACTCAGCAGAGGGAAGGTTGCTGGGTTGCTGATAGCTTACTTCACAGAGCACAGCTATTGTATCAGCTCAGACTGTTATGGGAGAGAGAAATAAAATTATCTTGTTTAAACCACTGTTTTTGCAGTCTTTAAAGACCACATGGAACTAAGCTTACCTCTTGAACAATACATTCCTTTGGTTGTGGGGGAAGAGAACAGTGAACCAAAGGATTCAAAGATACAAAGACTTTTTGCGCTTTTTGATTACACTTGAGGTTCTAGGGGTCAAAGTCTAAATTCATATGAATGCATAAAAGAAGAATGGTTAATGGAAACTAGAGGACTAGGTAAGTAGACGATTGCTACGACCCCTTCCAATTTGAAAGTAAGATTTTATGAGCTCCATAAGCTCTGATCTACAGACCAGAGCATGCTTTTGTTAAATTTAGCCCAAAGCTACCTCCTAACATGTTTTAAGTTTGGCCTAAAGATTTCTCTGTACATAATGAACTGCGACCTAACTGGAGATGTCAACAGACTGTAGCCTACTCTGTACCAGTCACTGAATTTCAGCCAGTCTCAGGCAGCTAATTGTTCAAACTGTGTTCAAATAAGGCAAATGCTGAGGCTCACTGGGAAAGAGGTGCTCTTATTTCACTGGGGTGGCTAAGGGGATAGAATAGGTAAGTAAGTCTGGAGCTTCCGGCATTGTGCCAGAGGGAATAGAGTAAAAAAGTAATCAGTAGGGGAGAAAACTTAAAGAAAGGATCAATAGGATTTGTTGGCTGATCCATTAGGGGAAGGGTGAGAAGGAAAATAAAAGACAAACATCTCTACAGTTTCAAGCCAGCACGATGAGAGGAGTGCTGATGTTTTTGAAAGGAAGTAGAACATTTTTAAAGCTCAGCCAACTTTCACAAGTTTATCTCTATGTAAATGACAAGTGATAGACTTGAGTAATCAGAGCTAAGACAATATTAACTTTCTGCCAACACCTGTGGTCTCAGAATGTTCGTGTGCTCACCCACGCCCATATTTCTCAGCATAGTTGACATCTCAGCATGTGTTTCATTATCGTATCCTGCCCAGCATCCATTTCTCTCTTTTGTAGTTAACGCTTTTCCTTGGGTAACGTCTCTCCCACACTGTCAGTCCCTGTGGGCCAGGGGCGGGATATTGTGACACAGTAAAAGCCCCATAAAACTGCATACCTCAACCATACCTCGGCTTTCTGTTGAAACTGCTCTCTGTAACCCTGATGTGACAGGCAAGCAGCCCAAACCCACACCGTCTTGGCCCCTGTGACTTGTAACAAGTAACTAAGGTCTGTAATTCCCACCACTACCCAGACAATGTGTAAACTAACGCTTATCTTGACTTCTGTGAACCATTTCAGTAACAATCGAAATATCCAAAGTCCCCTGGCCCTCAGAATGTCTGGAGCCCCTCACCCTCATCTCCGCCCAGGAGGTGATTTACCGAATCCACTGGCCCTCAGAATGTCTGAAGCCCCTCACCCCGCCCCCCGCCCCTCACCCTCACCCCTGAGGTGGTTTACAGGCATAAAAGGTATTGACACCCTCCTTTTGGGGCCATGGATTGGAGAGACATGAGTCCCTTGTGGCCACTGGCAATAAGGACCCTGCAATTTGGCATACTTTTGTCTCGGTGTTGATTTTTTATGCTCGCTCCAGTACAACAATATGACCCATCAGAATTATTTTCTTCCTGGTGACAGTGATTCTGTCAGAACATACAACCTGGTTAAAGTCACTGAGATTCAATTCTGGGAGTTTTATCAGAACTGTAAGGAAGAGAGTTGTCTTCTGCTGGCCTTGGAGTTAGGACATTTTAGTTTTTGAGACAGAGCCTCACTCTGCCATCCAGGCTGGAGTGCAGTAGCATGATCACAGCTCAGTGCAACCTCGACCTCCCAGGCTTAGGTGATCCTCCTTACTCAGCCTTCTGAGTAGCTGGGACTACAGGTGTGCACCACCATGCCCACTTAACTTTTGTATTTTTGTAGAGACAGGGTTTCACTATGATGCCCAGGCTGTTTTCAAACTCCTGGGCTCAAGCGATCTGTCTACTTCAGCCTCCCAAAGGGTTAGGATTACAGGCGTTAGCCACTGCACTAGCCAGAGTTAGGAAACTTTAAACCAGAAGCTGTGGAGAAGGGCCTAAGAGTGATGCCAACAGGGAGTAGAACAGAACCAAGAGACAAACAGAAAGAGGACCCAGATGTTGATGACATTATTTAAACACCTGAATTCAGCCCTACCTGAAGGCAGCTGGATACTCGTTTGAACTAAAGTTGGTTTGAGTTGGGTTTCTGTCATTTGCAAATGAAAAAGAAGAATTCTGACAAATATGCCAAGTTTTGCAAACAGGAACACCTTTACAAACTGTCTGTAGTGCTAAGAAGACTAAATGCTGTGCTTTATTGCAAATTACTTTCCCTAACATGAAAAATTATCCTATTTGTTTCCTTGTATTCTAAGACTAGAAAGTTATATTTATGCTCCAGAAACTTCCACAGCCTAACAAATCTCAAAGCTATTACATCTAACCAGCTAAATGATGCCCAGTAAATTCAAGAAATTGAAAACAGATACAGCTGTATTGGCCCAAGAGAAATGAATATTTCTACCAAAAGACAGGAAAAATGTTCACAGAAACTGTCCTTCCTTCCCTCCTTCCTTCCATCCATCCTCCCTCCCTCCTTTCACTCTTTCCTTCCTTCTCTCCCTCACTCTTTCTTTCCTTCCTTCCTGCCTCCTTCCTTTCTCTCTCTCTCTTTCCCCCCTCCCTCCCTTTCATTCATTCATTCATTCTTTCTTTTACCCACAAAGTTCAAAAGCAGGCAAACTAATACATGGTGCCAGAAGTCAAAATAGTGGCTACCTTGGGGAAGGAAAGAGGTGAATGCTGACTAGGAATTGCATGAGGGAATCTCTGGGGTGCTGGCTGGTGATCTTGGGGTGGTTAAAGGGAGGCATATATATGAGTGTGTGTGTAAAACTCCATCAAGTTGCACACTTAAGAGCTGTGCCATAGCCGGGCGCGGTGGCTCAAGCCTGTAATCCCAGCACTTTGGGAGGCTGAGGCGGGTGGATCACGAGGTCTAGAGATCGAGACCATCCTGGTCAACACGGTGAAACCCCGTCTCTACTAAAGATACAAAAAAATTAGCTGGGCATGGTGGCACGTGCCTGTAATCCCAGCTACTCAGGAGGCTGAGGCAGGAGAATTGCTTGAACTCAGGAGGCGGAGGTTGCGGTGAGCCGATATCGCGCCATTGCACTCCAGCCTGGGTAACAAGAGCGAAACTCCGTCTCAAAAAAAAAAAAAAAAAAAAAAAAAAAAAAAGAGCTGTGCCCTTCTCTGTAAATATATACTCCTAAATTTTAAAAAGAAAATGAGAAACCGGAAGTTGTAACATAAAACCTTCCATTTCTCCCAGGAGCCATTATACCAGTTGAAAAAAGTGGTAGTGTTTTGGCTCACAAGTATTTCCAGTTTTCTTCTACCTAAATCAAAGAAAATCGGCACTAATGAAAACAAAACCTAGACAAAGATAGGTCTTCTAGGTGAATATACATTACCTGAATGGAATCATCTGTCTATGTGATGCTATGAAATGAAAGTGGTTAGGAGCCTAGCCTTTCGTATCAGATAGAACTGGGCTTAGTTTCCATTTGCTGGCTGTGTGGACTTGGGTAAGTCACTTAATCCCTCTGAGTCTGTTTCCTCAACCATACAATACTGACAGTAATATCTCATAGGATTGTTGTAAGGAATGGTGACAGAATAAGGCATAGAAGGCAGCCAGGATCAAGCAAGCAGTCATTGAATGGAAGCTATTATTTGCCATTATTTTTATTTACGTGCAGTGTAAACCCTGGCAACTTCCAAAAGAGATAGGAGTCAGTACACAATAAAAGTCATGCACTCAACCAGGACATGATTAAAGAAATAGAAAATGGACCAGGCATGATGGCTCACATCTGTAACCCCAGCACTTTGGGAGACCAAGGCAGGAGGATTCCTTGAGGCTAGGAGTTTGAGACCAGCCTGGGCAATATAGCAAGACCCCTATCTCCACCAAAAAAAAAACAAAAACAAAAACAAAACAAAACAAAAAAAAAACTAGCCAGGCTTGGTGGTACATACCTGTAATCCCAGCTACTCAGTAGCCTAGGTGGGAGGATCGCTTGAGCCCAGAAGGTTGACTATGCAGTGAGACCCTGTCTCCAAAAAAAAAAAAAAAAAAAAAAAAAGAAAGAAAGAAAGAAAAAGGAAATGTCTTATAATCAGGTAGAGGAGGAATGAGCAATCCTATAAAATTCCCAGGCTGACACAGTGACTGCAACTGGGAACTAAATTTTACCCTGAGCTTCTAATCAAGCCAAGACTAAAAGGGAATCATGACAAGTTATCTAATACTTACTATATGTGAGGAAAGAAAGGCAATATACCAATTTTTCAAGAGGACCACACTTCCTCCCAATATCAATTTCTGAAAAGAATTTATCATGGGAACTCTTTCAAAGGGATCGAATAAAAATGTAATGAAGCCAGGACTCAGGGTCACCAGC